CATCATTGGTCATGGGACCACGCCTACTTGCTGCCTGCGCCGAAGAACTGCGAGGCGGCCTTGGCAATCTTGCTCCCGGTGGCCTTGGCAGACTTGTTGGCTGCTGCCTCGGCAGACTTGATGGCCGTGAGGTCTGTAGACTTGTTGGTTGCGGTCTCGGTAGGCTTGTCGCCTGCCTTGTCCTCAGTCTTGGCATCAGTCACTCCAGGCTTCTCACTGTCGACGGTGGAGTCTCTGCCCTTGATGGCCTCGACGATCTCAGGCTGAGCCTTTTCTTTCTCGTCTGTGTCAATGACATGGGCTGAAGCGGGCTCGGGTCGGGTCACGACACGAAGGTCATCATCGATTTCGTGTGAGACTGGAGCTGATTGCGAAGAGGAAGCAAACGCCCCTGGCCAGAATCCTTTGGCCCAGGTGCCCTCGGCCTCTTCGTCGGGGAGGTTGAGCTCGAGCGAGGGGCTCATGGCAGCTACCTTCTGTGTAGCGAGTTCAATGGCATCGAACTCTGGATCTTTAGGTTCATTTCTGCCAATGAATCCCATGAAGCCCTTTCGGAATTCGGTTCTGCCCCGACTGGGTTCGTCCTTTTGCTTGGCTGGTTGACCGCGTACAGGTTCCTTACCCTTGCTCTTGCTGGACTTTTCACCGTTGGTTGTAGTCGGGCCATCCTGCGGGGAAGGATTCTCGATGTTCTCAATCACAGCGCTTTGGGCAAGATGCTCATCCTCAAGGTAATGGGGTGAGCCCATCGCGTGAATGCGAGACACCATTGCATCGGCAGAAAGGAAGTGGGGAGAACCACTTCGCGTGGGTGAGGCTACGTAGTGGCGATCATCTTCGAGGAGATGCTCGGTGAAACGACTTTTGCCATGTTCGATCACCGGTCTCATGGGACCCTCCATCAGGTACGGGCCCTGGGCACGCTGCGAAGAAGGTTCACCCTGTGAGTTGCTGGCATCTCTCTCTCTCTGGTTGAGCTTATACCTTTCCTGCTCCAACATGTGCTGAATGACAATGGGTGAAGTGTAACGCTGATTATCGTATTCCAAAGCGTGAATCTTGGCAGCGGGAGCTTCATTGTGCTTCTTGTCTTCGCTCAATCGGTGACCCTGGGCAACTGGGTGTTTTCCCTTATCCAGGGAAGTCTTGGGCGGAGTCGCAACAGCTTGATCTTTCTTCTTCTCCAGGGAAGATCTGGGCTGAGCCGCAACAAATTGATCTTTCTTCTTCTCCAGAGAAGTTTTGGGAGATGCAACAGATTGATCTTTCTTCTTCTCTAGGGAAACTCGGGGCTGAACAGCAGCAGCTTCGTTCTTCTCCTTTTCGAAGGAAATTCTAGGCTGGTCTTGAACAGGATAGTGTTTGCCCTTGGCCAGAACATTGGCCGGGACTGTCAGAAATGAGTCCTTGTCAGAGAAAGCTGGAGGATGTGTCTTGTCATCCCGATCTTGCTTGGGGTAGTCACTGAGCTGCAAGTTTCCTTTTCCCTGGGCTGGGTCATCATTTTCCTTGTTGTCTGCAGGGACAAGATACCACTTTTGGCCCAAGTATTCCATGAGAGGCCTTGGAGAAAGTGGAGCAGTCATGACATACTTCTCATCAGCTGGGGTGATTTCGGGGGAGTCAAAAGATGAGCTGTTGAACTTCCTGTTATCCGGCACCATATAAACCTTGTTGGGCTTGTCAAAGGGGCCGGGGGTGGCAGAGCGCTTCTTCTTCTTCTCTGAGATAGAGGTCAAGGGGTCCACGTCAGTCTCCGACTCATGAGCATTGAAAACAGCAGACTTGGAAAGCGGTGGGCTGGAAATCTTGGGGGAGTCAGTTGCCCGTGGCGAGCCGTAAAACATGGGAACCTGGGTCTTGTACGGATCATCTGCAGAACTGAGTTCCTCGAGATCACAGACGCGGAGGTTCTTGGCTCGGCGGTTTCGCTCGCGGAAGACCACCTCTTCCTCATTGCGAGCGATTGTTGCACATGGGCAGAAACAACCATCCGCCCAGTCCTCGGTTTCTTTGCCTGTAATGTTGTAGAAGGCACGGATAGTCCCCTGCAACCGGCCCACCATGACACTGTAGACTGATATGAAGCCATGTTAGCCCGCCTTTCTCGATGGATAACAGCAAAAGTCAAAGTGCCAGGCTCGCTTACAGGGTATGCAAAGGGCAAACTGAACACATTCAGTTGTCCAGAAGTTTCGGTTTGGGTTCTCGACACCATCCATCCGCCCCTTCAAAGCTGCATTCAGGCGGGAATAGGTGCGGGAGTAGTTGACACAGGGACAGCACATCATATGGGTCAGATCAGGGGTTTGGTCTCTGCCACTGATGATAGTGTCTACATCACTCGCGTGCCAGGCACGTCCGTTTGACTCTACCGACATCTTTTCCATTCTTTTGGATGGGACTGGCCCGAGAAACTTTGAAAGTTGTTCGTTCTTGGACGGTGAGGGTTGGAGAAAATTGAGCGTGCAGTCTTGCAGCCAAAGGGCCTACCGATGGACCATGCTAAGGAGAAGAAGAAGTCAATACACGCGTTCAAGTCCTCAAGAACCGAGATGTGCAGAAGTTTGTGTGGTAGAAGTGGGGGAGGGGAAGGTGAGAGGTGAGAAGTGAGGAGAAAGAGGCGAGGTGGAGGGGACGTAAAAGTGAACAGGCAAAGTTGAAGCCTAAGTGAGGCGTGTGTATCACTTACCGACGCGTTGAAAACTCTTGGGCTCAACGGGCAAATCAAGAAAGTGGCGGAAATACTCTCGAGTGTCTGCTTGTCGAGTGTTGGGTAGAAGCTTAGACAAGCTCTGGGAGATGTGCAGAAACCAATGATGGAAACGAGTGTGGATGGGATCGTATAGATGTGCGAGGGCTGGCCAAGAAGAAGCGAAAAATGATATAAAGGACTCCAAGAAGCAGCACGACGAAAACAACAACAACTTCGTCGGTGGGTGGAAAGGTGGAAGTGAGAGAGGCCGTGGACCTAGAAGTGGGTGGAAAAGGTTCTTCGAGGTTCTCTCGAGGCCTTCTGGCAACTGGCGAGGAAGGAGCCAGGCTGGTGCTGGCAGCTGCGGCCCCAAGTTGGCACATATCGGCGAGGCTCAGGCAAGAACAGCTGCCAACACCGTCAACTCCCTCCTCCGGGGCATGCCCACCGCAAGGCGGATTAATTGAATGGACGAGATGCTGAGAAGGGCCGAGTGCACATTATGTTCTCTTGGCCAAGGTCTTAGGAGCAGCTTCATCTTTTGAAGTTCTAAATTACCCCAAGACATCGGGGACATTGATGGTGACCAGGGCATATATTACTTCAACTCATGCCCAGGTTTCTACCAGATCGTAGGAACATGACACAAATTATCCTAGCAGCACACTTTACATGTCTAGAGTGAAAGAACAGCTGTTGATTGTCGTGATGAAGACAGTAGCTCTTGTTCGCTGCCCACTGATAGAGGGGTGGGGGCAGGGTCAGTACACTCCAGGACACTGTTCCGCCTGCCTAAGGCAAAGAACCACAAGCGAGGAGACGTCATGAAGCGAAAACAATAACATTCTCGCTTGGTGAATCCTACCGTGTTGCTCTTGACCGTCAAGTGCCCTTCGTGCATACCTTCCGCATCATATGATATCGGGGAGGCACCCAAGAAGGCTCCTCTGGTGGGTGGGAAGCACGAGACGTTGTAGCTCTGGCCCTCACTTGGAGGCCAGGTCCAGTTAATTAGTATGCCAAATGATCATTGTAGTCATTGTGAAACATGGCGTTTCTGTGTGGCGGCCTCGAAACACGAACCAACCACCTGTGGCAGAATCACACGGCACCTGACAGGGCTGAGGAGACACCCATGGGCGGGGGTAGGCCTGCCATGGAAGGGGAACTACTGTACGGCTGTGCTTGGGTCTGGAATTCGAGGCCTGGACACTTGCTGTCGGAGCTGGTCCGATCGTGATGATGCGATTCTATCTTAAGGTGACGGAAAACGGTGCGGCTATTAATTGGTAGACACTTCATGCTGGCATCAGAGAAGCTATCAATAGCGAGTTGTCACTACTAGCATTAGGACTGCTACCTTACATACATGTCACTGACCCTGCATTATCTCATCATGCTTTGTATCATTGTCGCCATTGGTGGTTTCCGCTGCATAATTATATCATAACTCATCGAGTCATAAACCCTAGAAACACAAGCCCCTGGCGGGCTAATAAATCGCTTTTGATAATGGGTTTAATAAAAATGATTCAGTGAATTAATTTACCCGTCACATACATAGACTTTCCTCTCTCTCCCCTCTCCCCTCTCCTCATAAGCGCAGCAACCGGTGGACGGTCTTTGGCCCGCCTGACGCGTTTCAGCCGAGATCGCTCGTCAATGTCGTATTCTGACGAGCCACCTACTGAGAGACGCCAGAACAGGCGATAAGACTTGCTTGCCGTTGGCAGACACGACCAGGGAGGCAATCCAGTCTCCATTATGGACGTTAGTAGGTTTGGTGGCCCGTCAATGGTGCGTGCCCTACCGACCCGGGCACAAATCACGACGAACCATGAACGGGGCCGTCTTTGGGTCTAGCAGTCATTCTCTTCGGTGCCGAACCGTCATTGGCAGGCTTTGATCATGTAGTGATTACGACGTCGCACCCACATCCATCCTGATAGCCCATAGCCGATGTTAGTAGGACCATGTACAATGGGCCCGGGGCCGAGCCACAAACCCCAAAGGTCCAGGCCCTCAATGAGCATTTCATATTTGCCTCCTTGTTCGCGACGGGAAGTCTATGGGGAGATCCCCCAATGCGTGTGACCACGCCAATCGGGCATCACGCTTTATCAAGAGATAGGCTACCGGCTCCCACACACGCTGGGGATAAGAGGGACCGCATGAGGGACCGCATTGGGAAGCTGCATAGCCTATGATATTGGAAAAACGGCTCCTATTAATGGCCAGCTTGGGGTGCATTACTCGCTTGCCCACCCCATGTCCAGATACCTGGCACGGTATCAAGATTGTCAGAATGGCCCTCGCACCACGCCATGGCATGGCAGACACGCAGAAATGGCCGCGTTTCACTGCTAGCCGCATCGCGACAAAGACGCTGGATGTGCTCTAGTTGCACGCGCTATTATCCATCCGCCCATTGTAGCACCCGGGGCGGAGTGTTGGCTATTCTCTCCCAACTCTCTTACCCCAACCGCAAGCAAGCAAAGCCTGGAAAGCCTGCGTGGCCCCCCTGCGGCGCCTCCTCACCTGGGCGTAGTGCCGTACGTACGTACACACGGTTCGGCCGTCTGCGTCGACGGCCAGAAACGATCCGCCCAGTTCGCTGGTAGCGCCGAGCTGCCAAGGCGGGCCTGCGTCGTTGTCAGTCACATCGAGTCAGGAGTAGGCTGGGAACAGCGAGAGGTGTCAGGTCAGAGCGCCAAGGGCGGCGCATACGAGACGCACATCTCAGACGGGCTTCGTCAATGGGAAGCAAAAAACGTGGGCGCCGCATTGCTAGGCAGGGTGAAGCTGCGCGCGGCAAGAGAGAAATCACATCAATTCCCATGCACACGCACATCTTTCTCCCGGATGGACGAGCATTGGCTTAATTTCCCCCGTGTCCTGGCGGCTTGCTTGAAGTTGTGGATCGGAGCTGCTGCACAGCACCTGCTCGTTTATTTTCCTGACAAGGACCAGATGCTCCAAAATGCTCCCACCAGGGGCCTGCTCTCACTGCAGGAGAGAGTCCAGGCCCTCGTCCAGTGGATTTGTCGCTACTGGCAGTGGGGCCATCCGCTTCCAGTCCCGCTACAGGGCCCCTAGCGAGCTTCAAGGCTTGGGACAGCGTGCCTCCCCAGACACCATCCACTTGGAGTGCTGCCAGTCAGTCCTCTCAAAGCACTACCCTTAGGGGCTTCCGAGAGTCAATTTAGCGCTAGGTTCAGACTCGATGGCCCAAGCGCCTGGGACCAAGGCCCGTAGTCTCCACTGAACTTGCTCTGGTGCACCAATACACGCTGCCGGATTCAGCCAGGAATCAAGCTGTGGGCTGTCTTGAGGCCCGTGAGGCACCATCAGGAACTCCCCGTTGTGTTGGCTGTCGCTCTTGCCCCCCTTCTGATCAGAAGCTTGGCTGCACCTGTTCCATTGGCTTTCCTCGTTCTAGACCTCGCTTCCCCCTTTGTGGTACTATTGACCTGCCGCGCATGCATACTGCAGACAGACGCAGATGCAGCGACTTTTCGCCTCCTCATCATTTGGCTATATTACTACGGCATTGGACATTGAAACGGCCTGCCCTTGCTTTTTTCTGGTTCCCTCGCTTCTCCTCTGCTGTCGCAAATTTGTCAGTGCCCACAACTCATCACTGATCTGATTTGACGGCAGTCTCTGGCTGGGATCTCCCAACTACTGAAATTAGCACGCACGGGTGCTGGTACATTACAGTTTGGACCACCAGGACTCCTCCCTGCCTCAGCCTCCGTCCCTACCAGCGAGAGCCGCCAATATTTCACTGAGAAATCGTTATTCCCGGATTCTTCATCGCGAAGAGCACTCGCCCTGGCTCACTGATCTGCTCGTGCCCCCGGCATCATTTTACTCACCCCCGAATCATCGCTTAATTTCAGGCTTAATTGACTTCATTTCTGTGGCTTGACGAACGCGCCACTCGTCTCTCCTGAGCAAGCGCCCCAACTGCAACGGTACTAGCACGGACCGCTAGCAGAGTCGGCCCAGCACACCACCAGCACCAGCACAGCGCCGACAGCTCACCCGACTTCACTGCTCGCGGTAGGTCTACAGGCATTGAAGAGAGTCAACTTCAGGGACTCCTCTCCAGTTATTTGCGTTTCAGCTTGCTGCGCTGCAACAGAGCACGGCAAAACCTGTCCACCGCCCCGCCGCCCTGCTTGGAGCTTCATTTCGCCAGCCAGCCGTGACGACCTGACTGTCGAATCCGCGGCGCCAGAGGTACGTGCATTGACGCATCTTTCCTTCTTTCCTTTAGGTCTCCTGTCGGATCTGCTGCTGTCTCTGCTGTCTCGGGGCGCCTCCACCTGATGAGACGCCGGTCGGCTTCTTGTTCGCATTCGCTCGCCCCGACAGGCTCCGTTGGGGTCAACCGCCTGGGCCCTGTCGCCGTCCCCCGTCCCACCCACACTCCCCTGTCTAGCTGCAGCCCATCCTGTGCTCCCTCTCCCTCCTTTTAAGACCAAACACCTGCCTCTCCATCTCCACGAGCGCCGCATCCCAACGGCCCGTCCTCCTTCCTTGCCAACAGGTTGAGTTCTGTTTGCTGACCGGGCCAGTTGTGTGTTCTACCCTTTCAGTTTGCCAACCACGTCAGCCGCTCCCTGCTCGGTGCTTCTGCATATCTACGCTCGCCGTCCCACCTCGACTCAGACGAGACCACCGCCAAGCTCGACACTTGTCATTCATTCACCTCACACTCCCTCCCTCCTTCCACAAAGACAGGCCGAGCCACGTCACGACTCCAGACCTTCGACGACACCGACTCAATTCCTTCATTGGCTTCAGAGCATCGTCTTTTCGAGCATCGATTCTAATACTACCACTTGCACAACACAACCGCCACAATGGCCGAAGAGAAGAAGAACCTCGTGCCCCAGGGCTTGAACCGCCTCGACAGCTCCCTCACAGTCACCACCATCCCCGAGCGGGCCGCCCTGTCCAATGTCAGCACCGTCTGCGCATCGCCGCTCGACAAGACCCCGCGCAGCAGCAAGGAGACGGGCAAGAGCAACCCCTTCGAGACAGACCTAGAGGCCGGCACTCCCACTCGCGAGCTGAGCAATTGCGTCACCCGAACCCAGACCGGCCAGAAGGACTGCCAGGTCTGGCCCGACAAGGCCCATTGGGAGCGCAAGGCCAAGCTCAACAAGGCCAAGAACCGAACCTGCGGCTGCATGAACAGGATGAGCAAGCGCAACCGCATCATCACCAAGGTCGTCATCATCCTGCTCATCATCGGCCTTGGCCTGGGCATCGGCTTCGGCATCAGCAAGCCTCTGGGCGCCAAGATCTGGGGCGACAACACAAAGAGCACTTAGGAGACGAGAGACACGGCCGCAGGTTTATTCTACTTCATCCCACTCGACTAAGCATATGCCACGACACATACCTAATTACACGTTTTGCTTTCCCATTCGCGGCATCGGCGCAACGGTTTTTTTGCTATCCATGTCATACACAGTATCGGCGCAACGGATTAATCCATCGTCCTTCGTGTTTGTGGGCGATATTCGACGCATAGAACAGCTGGTTGGCGGCTCGATTGTTTGGATTCTATACACTACCGGTGATGGGTTGATGGCCAAAGCGGCAATCCATGTTTTCCCCCTTTCTATATTCTTCATTTTCTTTTTTCTTCTTCTTCATACACTCGCCTTGAGGAGGCCGGTTTCTTCAGGTGCAACACATTACGCACCACCAAATACAGAGGACAGCAAAGGAGTTCCAGGCGTTAGCGGCCCCATTAGAGGCACCAGGAGGCATGATGGCTATTCCATTGTTTTTTATTTCCATGGCAGACAATTTGTAGTCTGCCTTTTCTAAACATCTACTGTTTCGCTCTATTCTCTCTCAGACTTCAGGGTATCATGCGTTCCTGCTCCCATAGATACGAGCCAGGACCGCTAAAGATCATACAACAGAGATTTTGATGCGCAGCCAGCAATGGCCGCACGTTGTTTACCTTGTTTCAAACATAATGTGTCTCCCACGGTGATGGACCAATCGAGTGAACCAATGTCTCGCGCATCCTCATGACGGCCGCTACGTAATGCGGCATACCGCCAGCGAAACAAAAAAAGGGGGCGCGGCTCCCACCCACTCACCCCTCCAATCGGAGAGGCCAAAGCGGCACGCGGCATTGGGATATTCAATATTACGAAGCTGCAATCCCGGGCGAGCGAATCCTTTCTTTTCTTAGCACCAGTTCGAAACTGCAGAGCCCCGAGCGCAGGGTTCACGCCGAAGTACTGGGTGCTAGGATCGAGAACGGGCACGGCGGGCACAGAAGGGAGGAAGGGGGAAGGGCCAAGCTTCAATCTTGCATCCGCTAGGCCCCCGGTTCCTGCATTAACGACCTCAGTTGAGTGCTATGAAAAGAAACAGTGGGGAAGGGATTTTCGGAGATCTGCCGTGGAGAGTGTCATGGGTTTGGTTCCACCGGTTTTATTCCCTCCCCGTTTGGCATGATGCTCACTGTTCATGACTTCATTATATCCCCTGTGTATCATTTCGGTTTCGCTTTCAATTTGCTTTATGACGTTTCGTGTTGGCCTTCGCTGCGGGCGAAGGTGGTGGTCTTTTTCAGGGGGGTTTGGATGCTCGGTTTCACAGAGTCGTGATGGGCTCGTAATCTTCGTACTCGGGTTCGGTGGGGGCCGTTCATCGATCAGCATCCCGCTGTCAACCTGGGTCTAATTTTTGGCAGTCTGGGATTACGTGAAGCGGGCTCATCGACTGTCTGATTGTTGTGACAGACAGCAATCGGTTTGACTCTTGAGGATCATGATGGAAACTCCTCTTGTGAAGCAACCCCCGCCAACATGCATAATGTCTCACAAAGACTCAATAGCTGCAATGCCCAATACGTGGCCATCTGCTGCGGTCAAGCAGCGGCTCGAGAAACCATCCACTTGAAGCCAAGATAGCCCGACAATACCCCCATCATGGACGCATGCGATGCTGAATCAACCGCCCCGAGCACCACGCCCGGTCCCGGCGCAGTCACTCCCACCACAGAGCGAGAGTACAGAGCCATACAAGAATGGCTGCATTCGTCATCACAGGCAAAGGAGTGGCCACCGCACTCAGAGCCGGAAGAGCCCCCCAGCTCGTCCAGAGTGACCCGGCTCGCCGACCCCCACGCCGGGACCACGGTCCTCATAATTGACGCGGAGCACAACCGCGCTCTGGCATGCCACGACGGCGACCTCCGCCTCGAGGAAGTAGTCGGCGACCTGGACTCGCTGGACTCCATCCCCGTCCACTGGCAGTGGTTCTCCACCGAGACGGGCGGCTTCAAGGGCTTCCGGAGCGTCGCCAACGGCGGGTTCCTCGGCCACGACATCTGGTGGGGGTTCTACGCGAGGGTGCACCACCACCTCGGGTGGGAGCACGCGACGCTGAGCAGGCGCCCGGGCGGCTGCTACTGGATCCAGTTCGAGCACTGGTGGACGCTGCGCCAGCTCTGCGCGCGCGGCGATGGCCGCGGCGTGTACTGGCAGCAGGAGGGGGGAACGCTGTGGGAGTTTGTGGAGGTGCACGGGGCGAGGGAGTGAGGATGGGACAGAAACAAACCGCTATTTGAACATGCGTTCTGAGTCTATCGAAACTGCCTGTGACAATGCTGCAGCCTCGCGGGATGAAGAAGTGGTAGCTGACAGACAAAGAGCATGGTTAGTGGGAGTTCAAGGAACAACCACTAACAGCAAAGCTCGCCGGTCGATCGGTAACAGTCAACTATGGCTTTGTAAACTCGACTCTTTTGACTATAGATGCAGAAACAGAGAACGAGCGCCAGTTGAGCCATGAGTTCCCAGTCCCGTGCAAGTATAAGTAGAGCTGCAAGAAATCCATCTCACGCCCAAGATGTAGGCCATTTCTGTTAACCCTCCTTGATGAACCCAACCAGAGTCGCCTTTCCCACGTTCCCTACAGCAAGCAGCTGCCATTAGAAAAGAAAAAGAGACCCAGGTCAAAGCGTCCCAGCTAAGCACACGACCAGCTCCCAGCTCCCAGCTCCCCATTGCAGAGCCACTAGCATGTCGCCTCAAAACCGAGAGGTAGTCCACTGGATCGCCTACTTCTCCACCATGTGTGTTCTCTTCTGGCTGTCCTTATGCGCCAATATCGTGCTCTATAAGAGATTGGAATCGGCCCGCCGCAGCAACAACAACAGCCCAGACGAGGAGCGAGATGCCCACCACCCCGGGGACGCAGCAGACGTGCGCCGGGCGGCCTCGGCCTCGGAGGCTCCGCCGGTACACATTCATCTGAACCCGATTAATCCGTGGAGGAGAGGGCATGAGGGGGAGCAAGTGGCACCAGTTGGTCGCGAGCCGGCACCGCGGGACGGGAGCTCTCAAGATATGATGGTCCAGCCGAGGCTGAATAGCAGGCATGGCTCCGAGAGAGGTCAAACTCGAGCGTGGTGGTGATCCATGGAGGGTCTCGGTCGTATCAAAGACGAAATAAACTGTCGTTAAATCAACCAAATGATTGTGAGCTATGAGCTGGCCTCATATTCCTATATAGATTAGGTTTATTCAACAAGCAGAGGAAGGGTGACGTATTGATGCTCCCCCACCGCCATCAATTTACAAGACAAGTCACAGATGCCGCGCCATCGTCTCGTCTCGAGGTGGTTAATTTTTTAATTCATTTCTGCTGCTGTATTGTTTTTTTAGTAATCACCTCTGAATCTCAACGCTCCCCATCCTCAAAAGATCAAATTGAATCAACAGTCCTGTGTTCCAGTGCCATCGCCCAGCTCCCTTACCAAGAGAGCAGCAGCAAAACAGTTGTCCCATGCCAGCAATCCCGCTCCAAACGAGGTGTGCCTGCCAGGGAACTGTCGAAAACCAAAGTGTAGAGAAGCCCGAGTCCTGTGTGTGTATGCACCTTCTCTTCCGAACGCGCGCGTCTGTGGGTTATTCCACCCATTACAATATTCTTTCTTCATTCATTCTCTCTTCCAGTATCCCCCCTCCTTATCTTCTTTCTCTCTCTTGATTTCTGAACGACTTAATATCTTCGTGGGCGAATATCAATAAAAGAGCAAAACGAAAAAAAAAGTCCAAGTGCGTGAGAACATCCAGTGTATCTTCAGCTGGGGATCAGATCCGCTCTGCAGATATCGCGGCCGATCCCCATCCCCATCCCTGGATCTTTCCCTGACAGTGAAACAATAGTGTAATAGGAGTTAGTAAGTTAGATAGAAAAAACAAGGCAAGAAAGCAGGAGATCAGTCCAGCTGTGAAGACAAAGGAAAATGCAAAATGTGTCTGCTAAAAGGACGGTACAAGAAGGTTAAACTCATTCTTCTCTTTTTTCCTCCTCGTGCGTTTGTGGTCATGCTAACATCGTTGTGTTGTATAATTATTCCCGTTCCATCCACCATCGTCCAACGGGACCAGTCTATATCGTGCTGGTTGCATAAAAAAGGGGAAGTGTAGGTCATCCACGTTGATATCCGTGAAGGGGGCATCTTCAGAGTGACGCCTAATAAGTGGCCGGTACCTCGCAAAGCAATCCTCAGCTATATCGGAAACAAAAATGGTCAATAAAGTAAGATACGGCAGGGACATGTCGCCAGGGACTCCACCTAGTCCGTGAGCATTGCTCATACGGACTGGTAGAGCAGTAAGGGTTCGCCAACGTTCTCGATTTCGGGGATTGTGCACTTCAAGTCAAACGCCTTGGCCAGCACAATCTTGAAAATCTGGGAGCGACGATGTCAGTGGTGCACCCAACATGTGGAGTCAGGGCGGTCGGTGTTCACCTTTTGCACGTTGATGCTATGGCTGGTACTCGAAAAGATCAGAGCCGCCCTCATCGCCTTGGCAAACCGCCTTGCCTGCGTCGAGTTAGTACGTCATAATGGAACTGGCATCAGACAGGGGGGGATGATGCGAACCTGGTTCGAAATCTCCTCCTGGTCTTGGGGAGGGAAGTTGACAAAGTGGTCGTACTTGGTGCCAACGAGGATGGGGATGGCCGTCTTGTTGAACCCGCGGCCCTGTCGATACCACTCCTTGATGCTATTGAGGGTGCTCTTGCGAGTCAGGTCGAACATGAAGAGTATGGCGACGGCGTCGTTGCAGACGAGGGGCAGCATGTTGACGAACTCGCGCTGGCCGCCCAGATCCCAGATGGAGAAGGTGATCTCGGTATTCCTGATGGAGATGGTCTTCTCCATGAAGTTGACTCCGAGAGTCTGGATATAGTCCTCGTCCCAGCTGCCCTCGACGTACTTGACCATCAGGGAGGTCTTGCCGATCTGGGCGTCGCCGACCATGCCGACCTTGATGACGACGTGGTTGCGGCCCTGGGGCTGCTGCTGCTGCTGCTCGCCCTGCTGCCTGTGCTCGTTGTTATATGATTGCGGCGGGGGGTTGGACATGCTACTGGGAGGCCGTGATGACGACGGGCCGTTTGACACTGGAGGGGTGTATCGTGAGTTGTGGGATGCGCCGGCGTGCTCATCTTCCGGGTGAGGGCTGTCCTCGTGTGTGTTATTCGCGAGTCCGCGGTCTAGGGATTGGCTCTGTCCGTGGCGGTAACCGTTATTCTCAGCCACATGCACAGATCCATCAATTCCTCCGAGGGTATCGTCCCCGACCTCTTGGGGCGGAGGTAAGTGTGGGTGGTTATCCATCTCCATGGTGTTCCGATCGTTGGTGGTGGGTCAGATTAGAGGCAGAGGCAGGCAAGGCTCTGCCGAACGGAAGCTTGGGGAAGCACGTAATGGGCTGGCGAACGAGCGTATTGGGTCGGCGGGCGGAGACGTTGCAGTGGATTAAGTCAGGGATCTATCTGTTCTCGCGGCAGAGATGGAATTCGGATGAAAGGCAGGACGGCCTGGTCAGCTCGCCGAAGGCATCAAGCCAGAGAGCAGGGCAGCAGATCGAGGCTGCAGCAGCGTCGGTAAGGAGTGTGGTGGCAGGCGGGCGGCTACGAAGGCGGTCCCTTTTTTCGATAAGGGTTTCGGTGGCAGGTGATAAGGAGAGTGCGGGCTCGAGCAGGGTGCGGCAGGGAGCAGGAGCAGGAAGAAGGCCCGGCCGGAGACAGCGGTAATCGTGAGGGCGATGGAGAGGTCCAGGAGCAACGGGACGGCGGGCGGAAAGAGGAGGGGCGGCGGTGATGAAATGGATGGTGGCAGAAGGAAGCGATGCCTCCAGCGAGGGAGCAGTATGTCGACTCACGAGGTGGGAGTGGAGTCAATCTCAGTAATGGCCAGAAGAGCGCTGAGTTAACAGGCAGGGCATAGCAGGGCCGTCAGCACAGCACAGCGCAAACAAAGTGTTCTGGTGGTGTGGATCGCTGGAGCCTGGCAGCGCGTCCGGTGCGGGGGCCCAGGATTTTCCGCGGGCACCACACACATCACTAATATTAGGCCCTGGGCTGCTTGCTACAGCGGCCACACCACTGGAGGACTCGAAGGGGCCCCCTGGCTCGCATTGCCACCCGCCGCATCTAGGCGATGGAACCTCAGCTCTCCCAATGCCAGTGATCAGCCCTGTGGGTTAATCTATCACATGCAGCACCGCGACCCAAAGCCCCCCCTCAGAAGCCATCTTGATTCCCATCGCTGCCCAGGCACGGCTTGGCCATTGGCACGAAAATTCGCTCGCGGGGCCGATCTGGCCGCTGACTGGCAGCGCTGTGTGGGTTTGGCAGCCTAAGCGATCGATGGCCCGCGTTGAGAGGCACACGATGGCGTCACGCGTTGGGCCAATGGGAGCCCGGTGTTTGGGGTTGCACGAGCGGCACCATGAGACGAACATGACGAAGTGGGCAAGCCACCGTCGCTCTCCTGGGCTGAGCCAGCTGATCGTGCGTGTGTGTCTGAGACTCTGAGGTGGCCTGCGGAGGGCTGGACCCGGCCAGCGCTGTGTGTCTCGCCCCTCATTGGCATGATGTTTGCGTCGTCTCGCTGCACTTTTGTTGTTGTGCGTCGGCGTGTTTATATATTCCCTGTGTTTACTCTGCCTGGTTTGGGATGTTTGTTGCCCTCTTGCTGCGTCGTCCGGGGCGGCATAAATGGGCCTCGATGGACAACTCATCAACCTGCAAGTGACTGGCTGGGGTCTGGGTGAGATTTACGGACCCCGTCACATATCATATCTTGTCGCGCCAAACTCAGTCTGCCGTATTTCCACCACAACTCCTCTCTCCTCTCTCCTTGCGCTTACAATCACTCACCGCATCGCCGTTTTGGCACTTACTAATACTCCGCGCCAGCATACGTAACAATGGCCTCTTGTTGGTCTCAGTGTATTGATGAGTGCACATGGAAGTGGAGGTTCGGAACATTTGAGGTAGCCACCACTCTTGTCTTCACTGTGCTCTACTATTGCCATTGCCAGCATTGAAGACAATCACAACCATTTGAACCCAATAATAAGAAGCTTATGAATTATCCTGCGATATTTAGCTCGAAATTGCGTCCATTACTGTTGATTCTGATATTGTGTTGATTTAACACTGGAGGTTTTCGGTGTGCCATGTTTTATGTCAGTCGCGTGGCTGGCGGGTTTGTACTTACTATTGAGCTGCAACTCAATGCAAGGCTCGGGCCGCTTTATGCATTCCATCTCGCCAAACGTATTCTACCCCGAAGGATCAGTTATATTCGTAGCTTCATCCCGCAATTCGTTCAAAATCCCCGTTGGGCAAGCATGGCAACCAAAAGCTTAGGTGTGGTGGAGGTTACTTCGACTCCGCACCACATGTAAGCGTAGCTCTCCCGGTGCAACATTTGAGCATCAGCCCAGCTCACGGGATGAAAGCATTCCTTTTATTACAGTGACAACAATCTTATTATACAACCAACCATAGAGCTTAATCTCCAAGCGAATCAAAGACAATAAGGACAGCATTAACACAGAGCTCTCCATACACCTCAATCGAGCTGGCCATGGATTTGGGAAGCAATTGAAGCCTACAGGGTAGGCCACGGGCTACTCGCGGCTCTTAGCGAAAGCACGCTCGGCTCTGAACCGAGAAAACCAATGACTAAGCAGCCGGTGATACGATATCTGAACCTGGTGATGCTCTTCACCCAGACCGACTGGAAGTGTGCGTCATTCACCGTCCTGCCATTGCGTCCCGAGTCCGCACCCGCCACGAAAATGGCCTCAATCGCTCGCACCATCATGGCCGCCAGGCCAGCAATCTCGCGCCTGGCTCCCCGCGCCGCTCCCCTCGCCCGCACACCCTTCCGCGCCTTCTCGAGCTCCCGGATGAGTACGTCCAGTCCTCCCCCTCTACGAATCCAAACCCTACAAGCAATATTCTAACAGATAAATTGCAGGCCTGCTACGAAAGTACACCAAGGACCACGAGTGGGTCGACCTCTCCGCCGACCACAAGTCCGCCGTCGTGGGCATCTCAGAGTACGCGGCCGAGCAGCTCGGCGACGTCGTCTACGTCGAGCTCCCCGAGGCCCCGGGAGACTGGATCGAGCAGGGGGACGCCATCGGCGCCGTCGAGTCGGTCAAGTCGGCCAGCGACATCAACGCGCCCATCCGGTGCAGGGTCCACGCCATCAACAAGGCCCTCGAGGAGAAGCCCTCGACCATCAACCAGGTCCCCGAGGACGACAGCCACGGCGGCGGCTGGATCGCCAAGGTCGACGTCGACGAGGCCGGCGTCAAGGAGTTCGAGGGCCTGCTGGATGCCGAGGCGTACCAGGCGTACGTCTCGACCGTTGACGAGGAATAGACTTAAGGGCTGGGGTTTGGCGGGGAAGAGGGGTTATGGGCTATGGCAATTAAAGGGGTTTATTTATCTGTATATGAACGAAGGAAAGGGAACCCTGGGAAAGCGGGTGAGCATTTAGACGCTACGCAGATGCGTATTCAACACTGTTAATTCTGCATTCAACCATCTTGAGGAGGGGGTTTGTTCTATTAGGCTTCTGTCCATATGGCAAACTTTTTTTTTCCTTGATTAAAAAAGACAACCCGAAGAAACAAAAACATACATCATCCATCGTTATCGTCCGTTACATCCATTGCGGCCGCACCACCGCATCACTGACGGGGGTTGCAGCCGTTATGTGTCCCGCGGCTGCTACGTGCTGCTCGGTGGCTGCCGTCCCGCGTTGATGGCGTCGAGAATCGTGCCGGCGCCACGCTCCACGAGCTCGAGGGCCACCCGTTTCCCGTACTCCTCCGCCGCCTCGGGACTCGATATCACCTCAGACTTCTCCGTATCGACGCTCTCGGTGCCATCCACAGACACGACGGTCGCCCGAAGCCGCAGCTTGCCGTCCACCCAGTGCGTCTCGACTCCGATCGGCACGCTGCACCCGCCCTCGAGCGTCCTCATGACGTTGCGCTCGGCGAGGCACGCGAGCGTCGTCTGCTTGTCTTCCAGGGTGCGCAGTATCTCGAGCGTGCGCTCGTCGTCGGCCCTGCACTCGACCGCGAGGGCGCCCTGCCCCACGGCCCAGAGGATCCCCCCGCTGTCGGACTCGAGGAACTGCGAGATGTGGGAGTCGAGGCCCATGCGCTGCAGGCCCGCAGCCGCGAGGATGATGGCCGTCAGGTTCGGGTCCTCGTCGAGCTTGCGCAGCCGCGTCTGGATGTTGCCCCTGTGGTCCTGGAACTTGAGCGACGGGTACCGCCTGCGCAGCTGCGCCATCCTGCGCACGCTGCTGGTGCCGATGACGCTGCCGTCGGGGAGGTCGGCGAGCGTCTTCCACCCGTGCTCCCTGACGAGCGACGGCTTGATGACGAGCGTGTCCCGCGGGTCCTCGCGCTGCGTGATGGCGCCCAGGACGCAGCCGTCGGGTAGCGCGGTGGGCATGTCCTTGAGGCAGTGCACCACGAAGTCGAGCTCCTTCGCCCGCAGCCGGTCCTCGAGCTGCGAGGTCCAGAGGTTCTTGCCGCCAAAGTTGTAGAGCGCCGTGTTCTGGTCCCGGTCGCCGGTCGTGGTCATGCCCTGGATCTCGAAGTTGACGGACGGGTAGTTCTTCTGCAGCGCCTTGACGACGAGCTCGGCCTGGGCCATGGCCAGGGGCGACTTGCGGGTGCCGACGTTGACGGTGGTTGTTTCAGACATTGTGCCGTGTCGTGATTCGGGAGCAGTGTGATTGTGTATGTGCGAAGTCGGGAATTGGTTGCCGCTCTCTCTCTTGTAGAGCTTCGAAGTGACGCTGTTTTGTCCCGTTGGAGTTTGGAGGGGCACCAACTTTTTAGTCTCAATGGAGGGGTCCAACGTATTTTTGGTGGGGCAGCCGAAGAATACGCTGTACGACGCAATTCGCACTGTCTATGCACGGCTCGGCATCGGCTTCGGCATCAATTCAAGGTTGGTCGATGTGGCATCTCTTCTTGCTCGTGCCAAACAAGTATCTGAAGTCCTCAAACCGTGTCAGATGTCTTCATAGGGGCTGAATCTAATCTGTTGCTGTAACCTCGTGATATGTTGGACATGACCTCGCACTGGGCAAGCAAGCTGGTTCTGACGCAAGAGACGGCTGATAGAGGTCACTCCATGATGGCAAATGTCTTGAAAACTGCAATCATTCATGCCGTGAGATGGATTGGCATTAAGAGGGACCCTGGGGCATCTTGATTCACTCAGACACGCCAACTTATAAATCAATGGCTCTCGTATCATTGAGACTTGATGCCAATTCCATAACCACACGCATTGTTCTCTGATGTGGCCGTTCGTTGAGTTACAGGATTCTTTTCTAGACCTTGCCACTTAACTAAGATATGATGGCGAGAACGCTCACAATAATCCTACAATGCCTGGCGCTGGCGACAGCTCAAGTGCTGCCCCAGTCCAGCTCAACTTCCATCAGTCTCTCAACCCTCCAGGTTTCCGTCCCGCCAACAACCTCCCCTGGCGAGCCTCCCCCAACCATAATAGTGACGAACATCAAGCCCACCACTACTGGAGACCCAGGTCAAGGCGCTATCTGCGAGTGCGGATACACGTATTGCTCCTCCGTTCTCATGGCAATGAGTCTGTCCCCTATTACGCTGTGTGCTTCAACCGTGAGAAGAAATTCATGCTAATGACCTTTATCTTCGTTAACAGAGGTTCCATGGAATGAGGAGCAGCTCAAGCAAGCTTACTGTACCACGGAAGACGCTGTATGTGACAACGGAACCCCGTCCAGCGACATCAAGTCGGCCCTATTCCTCTGCCTCTGCGACACAATCGACCAGAAGGTGGGCAACAATCTGCACCTTGTCTGCGGATGTGATACCTGCCTCAACATCGGGCCGGATTACAGAGGTCGATGCAAGACTCCATGCGTCTCGGGACAATGTAAAGAGGGCGGTGATGCTACCGAAGACGAGTATGAGTGGTGATGGCTGGCAATGACTTGTTGAGCGTTTGATTCGAACGTTAATGATTGACGGAGTTTCGACAATAGCGGGGTGTTCCCCCAGGTGGAATAGTTCTGTGGTTTCGTTGGCTGAGAGGTTTGTTCGAACAATAATCATTGACGGAATTTTGGTAATAGCAGAGTATTGTCCCAGGTGTTTCGGCAATAGTGGAATATTCTCCGAGGTGTTTTGACAGTAGTAGGGATATTCTCTCGGAAGAAACAGTTCTGTGACTTCGTTGCTGGTTTTGACCTCCGTTGCTCCCTGAACTTCTATTACAGGTAGATTAGCTCACTGGCTATCTGATCTCCAACCTCCTTGCTTCCGAGATGCTTCTCGACTTGGTTGTGTGGAAGAGGTAGCTAGCTAGCTGAGTAGGGTTCGAAATTGATTTTCCGTTCTCTTGCATTGACACCATGTACGTATGCTCGTCTTTGTCAGTCCGGGCACTAGTCGCATGGGGTGGGAGGATATGTTCCTAAAATCAGAGGGCATCTTAGCTAGATTCTTATTGGCACCTAAGTGGGTTCGAAGTAGTTGGCTAGATCAGGTTTGGAGCGCCCTCGCGAATTACCTCCCGAACTTTCATAAGAACTTCAGCCGTATCCATAGGACATCTATAGTACGATGCGTCCTCCTCCATATGTTCCTTCCATACCTCAACGACTTGAGTTGCGGATTAAGAAAGGATTCCCAGCTTACATAGCTGATTCGAAGGGTCGATCTTTGAATATCTGTACAGCTTGATCGCGATAGCTGATATATCATTGTACCGTTCCTCCGGCTCGTGTCTGATCGTCATTGGGACCTCCACTTCGGTAATGGGTGGTTGTTCGATCCGGCGATATTCATTGCGTTGAGTTGTCGGGCCCTGGCAGCTTCATTGTTGTTAAACTCTATTCTCTTTCTCTTCCGTTCGACCCGGCGGAAAGAAGTGGCCTTAGTGTCGTTATGGTTATTCTCCCCACCATGTCCTTTCGTGAAGTTGCCCATGGTCCGGCGGTTGTTTCTCCGAATGGTCGGTTTTCTGATTATTCTACCCACCATGATCCTTTCGTGAAGTTGCCCATGGTCTGACGGTTGTTTCTCCGAATGGTCGGTTTTCTGGTGCTCCTGCCAAACCACCAACACTAGAGACGGGATCCTTGACTGGGGCCCTGTTTGCGAGTCCCCCATGCCGTTTAGCTCCCTTGCCTCGGGCTCCTCCGCCACGAGGCTTTGGGGGGAGGGATCTCGAGGAAGTGGCCGTAGCCTTCGTCTTCTTGGGGACCTCCCAGTTGAGCGAGCCAGGTCTGATGTGGTGGACTTCATCGCCCTCCAGTTATCTTCGTTCATCTTCACCCATTTGTTAAAATGGGATGTATCGTGGTATTTTCTGAAGTCATACCTAGAGTTTGGTCTTGACGTCCGTCGAAAGGACTTTTCCGCTCGAGGAATGTAAGCTCCTAGTTCCTAAGCTGTGCTTTTTCTTTGGACTCGACGAAGTTCCGTTTGAGAGAATACACAGGTGCCAAGAGTGTAGTAGTCGAGAATAATACGAGGACTTGAATATTGCTGGTAAGATTGTCAACAGAATGCTTTGAGGGCTTGACTATTGTTCGTGGCATTGTCAACAAAGGTGACATGTGAGTTGTTGGTGAAAACGGTGGTCTTTCTCTAACAGGAAAGCGCGAAGCACCCGATTGGGGCTTCTCTGCCCTGGAAGAAAGACTGAGGATGGATTATCTTACCCGTGTCAGGGGGCTTTTCAGACAGGCGTTTTTCAATACGGGCATATGCTCCTGTTATCTGAATATAGTACTTGCTGGTAAGCCTGTTCCTGGTGTAACTCAGCTGCAACTCTGCTGCAAGGATGTCTTCAGACCGTGAAGGGAATATTCTGTAGAGGAATATTTTCAGTCGAGGAAGGAGCGTTAGGTCACTAAACACCGGCATATGCACGTCACCCCGAAAGTGCTGTGTTTTGTACCTATCAGGCTTAGGCAAACCTGCCAGACCTTTGTTAGGCCACTGTTTGAAAACGCCTCTCACCCGCGTACTGAGGGCTACGGTAGGGAGCATTCATGCGGTGCAGCACTATAGATGCCTACAATCGCAGGCCTGAGGGGCAGAGTCACTGGAGGCTCGAGGCACAGAGCTGCAGGCACGTGACCCCCCAGCAGCAACAGCCTCCTATCACTGGTACCTCCAGCGACCACCCGCTCACCACTTTCAAGTCGCCGAAACAAATTTGTTCTTCAAAACATCGACGGAAGCTCTGTGACCAGAAAGTCGTTGAACGACGTAGATGTAAACCAGAATTTAGGGCAAGCCAAGGTGAAGACAAAGCTCTGTGAGGTCTAACCTGAGCAGAAACACAGCTTTTCCATAGTGGAAGCTTCATTTCCAGTTCAAACTGTTTGCACATGGAAATGATTTAATCAAGCCACAGTTAAACGGCTAGGCAATGTGAAATTCCATTTGCTATGCCTACCAATCTGCGAGCTTTAGGGCTTGAACAGTGAAGTATGTTCCTTAGCCATTGAGCCGATGCTGAGAAGCGATGCCTAACACTTGCCAGCAGCTGCCAAAGGCTACCATTACCTTCCTACTAGTAGGTGGTGTTCACCCAGCTCGCACTTGCCACCTGCAACCCGTTATCTTTCCTCACCTCCTCTGCTGCCCTGTTGTTTTTCTCCTTCCACGCACAACTCTCCAAGCCCATCGCCACCATGGCCGACAATTCCGTTGTGCCCGCATCCCCCATGGTGTCTCCTTTCCCAGTTCCGGGAGAAATACTTAATCACATCATTACTTTCCTGGATCCTTGGGGCGTTTGGCAGCTCAGCAAGACCTGCAGGTACCTGCGGGACGTCATAAAGCCTGGGCGTAAAGAGTACTTGGAATTACTGCTCCAGTTAGAGTCTTTCCCAACCCTTGGCGGAGGAACACGTCTTTTCACCGGCAGCGACTTCAACCCGACTCCAAATCTCAGTTTGTGGAAGCGAAATTATTGGGCGTGCTCCGGGTGCTTGAGTCTCCTGACTCACGAGTACTTCAACAACCACTCCCTCCTTCAGCTCGCATACAGAAAGCTAGATCCGGAAACTTCTGCCCAACGGTCCGTCACATCGTGGAAACCGAGCCTACGCGGCAAGAAGTGGGGGCAGGAAGGACCCAAGTACTCGGCATCTAACGAACATGAACGTCTCGGTGCCAAGCGCCATCATCGGCTCTGCAACGAATGCCTCTTCCGTGCCGGGAGGCTCAAGTCCAAATGGGTCTCCGCCCAAGGCATGCACGGCGGCACGCTCAATACACCGATCCAGATAAGCCGATTTGTCTGCTTCCCGAGCGCGTTGGATCGGTACTTCCCCAATGTAGGTGAAGCGCTGGGTCTCCCGGCGCCCAAGGACGGCATCCTCGCAAGCCGTCAATGGCCATGGGTGCTCTACATGGTGCGATGCCCGAATTGCAGCGTATGGCAGGAGCTGAGCTCGTTCCGCGTCGGGGGCTCGTTTCCGGGCTGGAGTCCAACGCATGGTGGCGATGGCTTTGTTCGGTACCGTGGGGGTTTGAATCATGAGGATTTCTATATCGATCACCTGAGCTGCCACGCATGTGTCTTGCGGTACCAGGGCTTCAGGTACCTGTGCGAAGACCTCTTGGATTGGTACTGTCTATTGATGAAATCTTCAAGATTCGAGATTGACCTCCAGCTCCTCAGTGGCTGGTCGGCGATCAAGATGAGCCAGCGCCGGTTCAGCCGCAAGCACAAGAAAGACATCCGGCGGATCCTCCAGGACGTGGACCACATGTACCAAAAGCGCTACCGCCCTGACAGCGAGTTGGGGTATCAGCAGGTGGCTCTGGTCCAGCTCCGTCACCGGGAGTTCAAGGAGATTTGGGAGAAGATGATGGAGACTAATAGTCACATTGCACACGGAAAGCTGGGAACCAAGAGCTACTTCATGTCATGGCTCACAAACTTCGACAAAATTCTAGCGACCTGGCAATGGCTTCGGGCATGCCAGGACGCGGTCGAGAGTGACCCTGGTCTGTTGGGGAAGTGGGCTCTATATCAACCCCGGCTGACTCCTCCTCGTCCACGACGAAAGTAACGGGATCATTACCGGAATCACACCCTAACGACTCAGGATAGGAGCCTCGATGAGACTTGAGGAGGGAAAGATGGCTTATGAGTGTTTGATGCGGATGAAGTGTTAGGGGCAGGCTTGGGGAAGGAACATGAATGGCACTTTTTAACTTGTGTCGGACTTGGCTCAATGGCTCCAAGTCAAAGTCTTTTTGTGCTCTATCTGTTTGGAAGCTGCCTACCAAGTTGGCTGCTTGCGTTGTATGATTCACATGCCATGACACTCATCTGGCTAATACTTTTATTACTGTAGTTCAGACTAGGTTAGAAAGCACAGCTTATTCGCACGGCAACTCCCTTCCGTGAAGTGATTCTGGGGTCCTTGGCCCCTGGGGTATGTTATGGCGTTTCATTCTCGGCTCAACCAAACGCTGCGCCCCGGGCCGTGCAATATGCCCTACCACGGTGATGGGCCACCTGCCCTCTGACACCATTGCTCTCATCCAGACAACCCGTTTGGGATAATGATGAGCCCCTTGCTCTGTGGTATCTACTTACTCGCTTCGTCCTTCCAAACTTCTAGTTCTTTTGACCCCCCTGGCCACTCAGAGTCAAGGAAGGCCAGATTCGGATCGAAACCTTCCATGAGATTACCCTTCTAACCTACTATACCAACTTGAGGCGCGAGGAACAATGGCATTATTGCATATGCATATGCATACGCACAGGACGGGTAACATGCACCACCTTTAATCTAGACGGTTGGAACCCAAGCCTAAAACACCGAGCAAAAAGTTCAGCTCCTCGGAACAGAGCGGAAAGGGTTAATTGGCAGAGAGCCAGCCCGTTTTTCTGAGACGGCACAACCACGGCTTAAGATGACAGGCCAACAATACATGATTCGATTCCGGCCAATGGGCATATATTTGCGGCAAATACGACGGTTGATCAGTATATCTTCAGGGAACAGTCCTTCCAATCCAACTGAGTTATTTCTTCGTGGCAAAAATACTGGCTCACCGGCGAGGGTCTGGCCCACTTGCCAAGTGACATGATGATACTCTCGGCGTCGGGTAGTATTAGTCTTCATGTAAAATGAGGCGGGCGTCTGTCTCCAGCCCCCTGCTGCGGGCGGTTCTGGCAAGTTGACCAATCCTTGCAGCATGGCCTAAGCAGCACAAGCCATAGGCAAGCCTTGAAACGAGGCTGCCGCGTAGGATGCAAATCACCCTCGGAGCTATTCGGTTCTTTAATTCCGCTGATGCTAATATTGACAGCAGCCGACGGATCTTACGTCAAGCGGATACGATGAAGTCTCGGAAAGGGCCAATGAGTTGAAAAACTCTCAGCAAAAAGCATGCTACTGCAACTTTTTATAGCTCGAGAAAATCGGTCAGTGAATTATGGGCTGGTTGTCCAAGTTTTGTTGGATTTCAAACGTCAGCAAGAGGCAGAACAGGCATCGGAGGGCATCCGGTCGACGCTCGGGATCTGTCCCGAGAGCTGCTGCCCCCGATTTTGTACAACATCCAAAACTCCACTGCCAAGAGCCGTATTATGAGGACGTGCTCGGACGGTTCGCTTCCCCGGCCAATGATGGGATATGATGACATATGAATCAAGCGGAGCGTGAATGGAAATTATGGACTTCATATGTCATGACTCGTCGTTGTTCAAGGGCAATCTCTGGGCTTCGGACCGACGTCATGCTGAAATCAGTATGTGGATGGCTGCTATGTTTCTCATGGCTAGAGGACGCAAAGACACGATCAAAGGCCTTCAAAGTCTCGGCAGAAGAGACGAAGTCAACGTTGTACAATTCTATCCTTTCAGTCTATCATGTCACCTGACTTTCTCGCTCATGTGTGATACATGATTCGAGAGCTGCCACTCTCTGCGTATTTGCCGGGATGAACAGCTCAAGACGTGGACCGGACCCATATAATTGTTCTAGTGCGATTCTATGAGGCAATTCACACCGAATTAGCCTCCCGAAACATGCATAAAGGCGCATAATGGGCATATTAGGACTGAGCTTATTGAGCCGTCGATCAGGGGTACAAGTGACGTCAGCTCCAAGACCCTCGGGCTTTACTCCAGCCTGCAAGGATCCAAAGATTCTTTACATGCATTGCCCATGGGGTCAGGATGCCATGCCATGCAAAGCTCCTCTGCCGCGTGGGTAATGGTGGATGATTCGACGGCACCAAACATCCGGCGAGGCAGGATTCTGGGGTGATGTGGATGAAAATCGCTCATTTACGGAGTCGAAAACTCCCAAAATACGTCTTTCTTGGCCTTGGCCCGTGAGCTGGAGTACTTGTCAGTCTTTAAAAGGAGACGCTATGTACTTGCCTTCTCCCTCGAGCTACTCCAGCCTAAGACGCTCTCGACAGTCCTTCGCCTTTACTCACCCAGTTCTTTTCTCACCCAGTACTCGCCCACTTGACCTTTGGTCTCTTCCAAAAAGATATGCAACATCGGAGTGAGATCCAATGAGAACCGACTTTCCTTCCTTTCAACATCGACACTGGCCACCTTGTGCGACCCAATCTTTCCAAAATGGCATCTATTAGCAACGAGAAGAGCGGCGTGAGCCCTCAAGCACCCGATAAGACCGACCACACGCCTAACAGCAAGAAGACCCAGGCTGGTACTGGTACTGTTGATGTCGAGACTGGCCAACTCCACACTCTCGAAAAAGAACCTCTCCCGCCATTCACAGAGTCAGATGACCCATTCGGCGGCGAAGGAGGCAACAACTACCGTACAATGGGCCGCTGGGACACAGTCTTTGCCCTTGTCACGAACCAGATGGGCTTGGGAATCCTTTCCCTACCTGGCACACTGAAGATCCTCGGTCTTGTTCCTGGCCTCATTGCCATTTTCGCCATCGGCTCTTTGACTTGGTATGCCGGTTATATCTTGTATGAGTTCTATGCAAGATACCCCTTTGTCATCAACCTGGTCGAGATGGTCAAGGTCATTGGTGGGAAGAGATGGGAGGCAGTGGCCTTTTCCATGTTCATCTTCCAGCTGGTTCTCACTGGTGCTTCTACCGCAGTGACGCTCTCCATCGTCTTCAACTCTATCAGTGAACATGCCATGTGCACAGTCGGCTTTATCGGCATCGCCTGCTTGGTCATCTTCATCTTCTGCATCCCTCGTACCATGAAGTTTGTCTCTCAAAGCGGTATCCCGTGCTTTCTCAGCATCACCATCGGAGCCTTGGTGACCATGATCGGTCTTGGAGTTGGGCATCCTGCAAAGGCTCCTGCGGACTGGAAACTGGGCTCCGGTCTTACTATTGTCGGGCACCCGTCTTTTCAACAGGGGTTAACTGCTTGCATCCGCATCTTCTTCGCATTCGCGGGTAACTTTGCATTTTGCTCTTACATGGCGGAGATGAAGGACCCAGTCAGAGACTTTCCTTTTGCTCTGCGGGGACTTTTCATCGCCTCCATGAGCGTGTACGCGGCCTTCGCTGCGATCCTCTATGTGTTGGCTGGAGAGTACACGACCTCACCTGCCCTGGGTTCCGCACCTCTCGTCTATGCAAAGGCGGCCTATGGAATTGTCATTCCCGCGGTGCTCACCTCTGGGCTCTCCAACGGACATATTGCCATTAAGCTCGTCCATGTCCAGGTGATGCGTGCGATGAACCTCACCAAGGAGATCACTGCCAACACCGTTCGATCGTGGGCCATCTGGATCGGTATTGGGATTGCCTTCTGGGTTATTTCCTTCATCATTTCCAACGCGATTCCTATCTTCGACTCGATCGTTTCTATTAGTTCTTGCGCCACATATAGTTGGACAACATGGGGTATCGCCGGGTTCCTGTGGCTGCACCTGAACAAAGGGTCATGGTTCAGTACCTGGAAGAAGAGGGGTTTGTTTTGTCTCAATGTCTTGCTTATTGTTCTTTCGCTTTTCATGAACAGTGCGGGTCTGTGGGCATCGATTTCGGAACTTCTCGATGCCTTCAAGACGGGATCTGGGGTGCGAGGATGCTTTGACTGCGGTGATAACAGTTCCCTCTAGAGTGATTTTTTTTTCTTTTTGATTTGCGCCCCGAAGACCATATGGGACTGGAGGAATGAGTGAAAGAGATGGTATGAACCCCGGGCATGGCTGTGCAATTTTCTTTCCGGACTTGGCTTCTGGTCTTTCTTCCCGTTTCTCCTTTTCCTCCTCTATCTTCCTCACTCGATTCGTTGTTCCCTTCTGGCTCTCATACGCCTTTGACTATGTGATTTGATCAATTGAATAACTCAATGGTGCAGAAATCAAGATCGGATTATCTGGATTGCTAGAGATCTTTGTGTGAATGAACGTTTTAGGAACCGGCAACTAACACATGAGTCAGCCATGACACATTCTTGCAAGGAGATGTAGCCTATGCCAAGGATTTATCGATAGGTCCAGTTGATTGAGACATCTTTAGTTGGCGGAGATATGTTGTGTTTTGTTTCCGACGAATAGAACTATGGTAAGAAATGCCCGAGTGACGGAACAACAGGAGCCCAAAGAATCGACACTTGATCATGGGATTATTTCTTCCGTCCTAGATAATTATCAAAACGAACATTAAATCTCTTTCAATCCTCTCCTATCTTAACATTCTTGTTCATCGGCACAGTGGCACTCTCTAGGTCTGTTTGGTTTGACTGAAATCTCCTTGGGAGCACCGCGGTTGAGTACGAACTCAAAAGCTTCCTTCGTGTAGCCTACTCGGATGAACAGGAGTGGTGTCGTGCCTCTTGGGACTCGCAATTCGATGTGGGCAAAGCCAAATCTGTACATGTAGTCGATAAATGCTCGCATTGATCCTTTCAAGATCATAGAGTTAGCAGAGCAAACGATGAATATGATGGAGTACAATACTAAGCTTTAGAGGCAGCCCATGTTGACTTACCACTTTGCTCGTGTGAAAGCAGTTGCTGAGTGCGCACCCGCAATAATCTGAATACTCTGCATAAGAGACACCCGTAGCAGCGCAGGCCATCGATATGGAAATCCTCATGATTCATCCCTCTGTCCTGCACCCGTTGGCCAACAAAATCGTTTCGTCTCCTGCTTTATTATCGTTCACGAGGCGAGATACGATGGGAGGGGGTTCTTCTTACGAGCATCCATCGCGGAAGTACACGTCCAGATCGGCGTTTCTTTTCAAGTAGATATCGGTACATTTGAGGTTGGAGATTGGTAGCAGCAACCTATCCGATTGTTAGCACTCCCAAGCCGAACAAGGACCAGTTTCTGCTTACCCAGGTGGGGGGCCTTCCCAATACATCCAGATCTCTGAGTGATACCTGAACATTTCGTAGCAAGCGTATGAGCTCTGACAGGGGTCCTTTTCGGATGAGTTGGAAACTAACGAGTCTCGCGGGTGGATCAACTCTTCCCAAAGAAGGGGACAGGCGAAGCCGATTCTGCAGGAGACATGGATGGGAGCTTTGGAATGCTGTACTGAGGTAGTTCCTTGTTTCGTCCCTTCGCAGTTCCAAGGCTAAGTGTGGAATCCTGCCGGGAGCGTATGTTGATACAATGAGTTGTTTGCTTATAGGACGGTATACGTTAGAATCTTGGGGGGGGTTAGAAGGCTAGACTTCAAATCTGGTTGGAAGAATGTTGGTGCCTCAGGAAGCCACATCGTTATCTTCAACACCATCTCGTGATAAGAGTTACCTACATTTTTGAAGCGGATGGCAAGGAATTGGGAGCTACCCTCAAGGTGCCAGTGTCAAGAAAGGCTTGAGGTCTTCGTGGCGTTGGAAAAGGAGGAATTTGGTTCTACAATCACTTGGTGCGATAAAGAGGAAGCAGTGCACAAAATGCGGTGTTGGCTGGTTCGAAAGATCTTTTGAGTTGAGAAGAGAAACAACCACGTGGCACAGATTATTGCAATAAAACAATGGTATAGAGGTATCAGAAAGGAACTGCACATCTATCTAGAAATTGGTAGCACGGGGGCCGATACCCATGACCAGTGAGCGCTGCAATGCGTGACTTTACGTTCTGAGGGGCCGCTTGGGTAGACGCACGCCGTCATACTCCATCCAGTCTAGACGATTCTGATACTGCCGCATTAGCCAGTTTGTTTTGGTCTTTGCTGTCCAGGCAAGATATTCCTCGGATAGCTCGAAAATTGCCGATTCCAAATCCACTATCATGATTTTATCCTTTCCCTCATCAGACACGAGGAGAAAATTGTCGAGTTTGGTGTCATCGTGGGAAACGCCCAATTCAGTAAGGGACTTCAGGGCATGATTCAAAAGGGGCTTAAGATCCCGCTTGTCCAGCACTGCGCCTTGTGGTGTTGCGAGAGTGAACCCCCCAACGTCTGAAAGAATGAGGGCGCGAGTGTGACTATATTCGATCGAGCCATAGAGCCGAGGGATGATAATGCCTTGAAGGCGATGCAACTTGTGATATGCCGCCACTTCCTGGTCAAACTCGTCTTCCCAATGGTTCTTCTGGGACTTCAAGACGATCCTTTCTGGAAGGAACCACTCTGGGAATCTGTTTTGTAGCCAGGCGCCACCTGCTCTCGAACCGATCCAGAACAAAGACTGAATAACTCGTTCAAGTGGTGTTCGATGAATCTTGAGGCGCAGAACATGGGGATGATCATAATCCGAGGCGGAACCGGTAGCTTCGATACTTCGACTGCCGAAGCGAAAGCGCTTCAATAACTTTAGCCCCAGCACCGGATGAAATGAGAAGGATGGTATAGCTTACTACGTTTGCCGATGGTGGGCAGTTTGGTGACTGTGGGCTTGACTCCGTGAAGCCCGGCTCCCCGCCTGATTCTTCCATCTTGTCATGAACGTGCGTGAAAGTGAAGGAAGAAGACAGTACGCGGAACAGAGAATTGTCAACAGCGCGGCAGCTTAGTAGGTAACCCCTAAAACAAGGGCAAAAAGCCACCTCCCAGTGAGTGCACGTGCCAGACTGGAGAGGCCTGAGCTGCCTAACTTTAGGGCAGCGACACTGTGCGTTGGTAATGTCACATTTATGACAAGAGAATTGAAGCCAACACGCCCAATGGCCAACATTGCAGGATAATATCCGGCAATAATCGTAGCGGTATTACATGAATAGAGATAGACCGCTGACTATTGCATTCAAGGACTAAAACTCAGGTTTTATCTGGCCAATCGATGATCAACGTCACGGCCACTTGGTATGATTTAACAAACTTGTACGAGTTTCTAAACAAAGCTAGCATAGGTGAATTCAAGTATTTTCAGAGAATGCCTTTGTTATATTCTATTTACAAATCATACTCTTTTGACTAGGTACGTAATCCACTCAAACACTCGACCAAACACAAAGGGCTTTGAGAGGGGCTTCCAGCTGATGACCGGCGATCCGGCCAATGTGCGAAAGGGATGCCAGTGCCAGCAGCGTATTTCCGACGGACTAGCCAGGGAATTGTGGTTGTCTCGAGAGGCAAGCAGCTTCTGGACCTGATTACTGTACAGGCTGTAGGTTGTCCTGGTGGTGTTTAGCATGGAATACGACGATGGTGCCTCGGGTGGGATTAATCCATACCTGACCTCCCCAGCACCAAGCTTGAGGGAATGGGATTGAAATGACTTTCAGATGGGCATGAGGGTTGAAATGACGCTTAGATAGGCATGTGTCTCGAGGAAATTGCTTGGACCGAGAAGATTTTGGTTGTCTCTCATCCTTTCTCTGTTTGTTGATAACTTAACTGTAATTAGCCAGTGACCAAGATGGCCGAAGAGGTAGGTGTAGAAGACTTACATACCAAAGGTCAGGTCTGTAGCGATCGCTCGTCTTGACGGCAGACAGGCACGGGGCTGGCTTTTGCTGTTCTCCCCTGCCTAAGCACCACACTCCGGTGGCATGAGGGTTGAAATGACGCTCAGACAGGCATGTGCCCAGAGGTGGGCCCACCCGCTTGGTTATCTTCTTCGAATCCCCTAAGGTAGAAGGGGAAACGGAAACGAGCCGATGATCCTCGTTCTTTTGCTGTAGTATTTGCTCGTTTCCGTTTCCCCTTCTGACCTCGCAGCGATCGCTCGTCTTGGGCAGACAGCCGGGGGGCCGTCTGCCGCTGTTCTCACGAGAATTAGTTAAATCTCATTGAAGGATTCCCTGGGTCTGGTCTCCGTGCTGATGCTTGGGGTTTGCATAGTCACTTACCGGGCCCTCGTGCGAGGGATGCTCCCACGTGTGGGTGTGAAAGGAGAGAAGTTGAGTGCCGTGGGGAGAGAAGTGGGAGCGAAGAAGAGGGGATTTCTCAGGGCCCGTTTCTGGAACCTTCCTTCTCTGTTTGCAAGCCGCAGCAAAGTCAAGGCAGGTGCCATCAGGGGCTGCTCAGGCTGCAGGGACCCACCAGATCGCTGCGCTGTCATGGTACTACCACCTACGTAGGTAGGAGGTGCCTAACGCACAGTGGCCGTGAGGACCCCCAGGGGCTGAGTCACTCTACTGTTGGGCAGGTAATGGATGCAAGCAGCTCAGGAGAATCTCCAGTTGAGGGAAATTGTACTCGTAATCACCAGGTCATCATCCAAGTATATGCATTCGGCAAGGCAAGTGACCATATAATGGTCAGGAGTTTCCATTGTTGGATTATAGATCTGTGGTAATATAAACATGTGGTAGGAGTGTCGGACATAAGAGTGTCTAAGGGAATAGCTTGCAGGTAGGTTAGTACCTAGCCATAAAAACAAGCCATTCTGACTGCTTGGGTAGAGTGAATGGAATCTTGCACCCTGTTTTCAAGATTAGGACCTTTTGCTCCCGCTGACATGCTTTAGATACTGCTCTTCTTATCAATTTTGCCTGGTGAACTACTGTGCTGTGCATTATATCACGATCGTAGTGTCTCTACTCAGTTACATGAGCTCCAACGTACTCGTCTGTGAACACCCCTGTAGCGGTTCTAGGGTAAGAAGAATCGATCCGCAACAACGGCTGGTCTACGAAGTCTTTTGCCACTGGCACATAGCGAAGGCCTTGGATCAATCTGAGGCCTATCTAGGTAACAACACTGGGCGTTTTTGGCTTGGCCTGACACCATCATGGCCAGAAATACAATTCACTCAAGACATCAAGGCGATACGGAGATTTGGAGTTTGTGGAGACTCAGCAGGGATCGACAGTTTAGTTACATAACATTAAAGGTTATTTCGACGACCCCGGTCGCATGAATGTTGTGCTGCCACTCCTTCGCATAATCTCCTAAAGAATAGCCAGATGCTATCGATGGACTGTTGGACGGTAGGAGCGCGAAGCATGAAAGGACTGCACCGACATGTCGCAGCCGGAACAACGATGGACTAGGTGGGTAGATTTCGCGGTTCAGGGGCCGATTGCACCTAGCTTGTTAAACGGCCATGAAGCTGATATCCATCAACACCTGGATACAGTCAGCTCGGTCTTCTATTCCCGCCAGCAGCTTGTAGCTTGAAGGATGCCGAGTCCAACATCTCATCTTCGGCAAGAGCAGAGAATTTCACTGTGACATGAATGCTCTAATGTACTTCTTTCGCTCCGACTTCAAAATACACTTGATCGAGTAGGGTGTACCGGTCGGATGGCCGATCTGGCCCTGGGGGCGAAAAATGGGGGGTAGCTTGGGGTTCGTCTTCGCGGGACTGGGGTTCGGATCGACTGGACTCGGGAACTTGGACGGAACCATACTGGACAGGGTTGTTCGTAGCAAGGCGGAGCAGAACGAGGGTGAGAATCCAAACACACGGCGGTATGTCTAATCGGTGTGGATGCGATGCTGCATACAACGGGGCATCTCTTGAGCCAGCTGGCGTTGCGCAAGTCCTGCATATACAGGTGGTAAGCAGATTGCTCGGAGCAGCCCTTGTGGAACTTACAAATGCAGTTGCAGTCATAATTTCGAGCATTTGGGAAAAGGCTGATGTGTTAGGGAGAGGATTGTAGGCGATTGGTGTGAGGAAGCCGGACCGGAAATACTGGGCTCCGCTTTCTTCCGTGGAGCTGGTGATCTCCCCAGTGCCTTTGGGAGCGAACTTCTCTCGTGACAGCCCGGAGAATCAAGAACAATGCAGCCGACAAGTCAAACGGCCCACCCCCCGGCTCTAGATGCCTTGCCGCCTTCGAGCTGTCGTTTAGTTACCTGCTACCCTAATAGAGACCCTCATTTTCTGCCACACCAGAAACCACATTGTCTGGCATTGGAGAGGGTAGTCCTGGGGCTGTCTGGATCCTGAGGGGAAGTTGAGTCGACTAGTACCATCTGGCCATGCTAATTACGTCTCAAAACAGGTACCAAGCTAATGCTGTCTGCCAGTCCTTTTCCCCCATAGATACCCCTATTTCGATGTCTCGGCTAAGGTAACTCGCTTCGACGATTTAATGTTCGACGATCGATGTCCTCGATATTCGGTCCTAGCCAAGAACACGCAATTTCACACGTGGGACTGCGAGGTGGCTTCATTTCCTACGAAGCATCGTTTGTGGTTAGTGCGGCTTTTGCCAAACATTAACACTCGCCAAGGCGTCGCGTGGATATTTGCTCTGCAACAGGGATTCCGTCACCAAAGTAACCCGACCAGACTTCTCGAGCAGCTAACAACTCCAATTTTCGTCGAGGCCATCAGAATATATCTTACCTTGAGCTGTCGATGTTGTAGACGCGTCGCGGTACGTCGATACAACGAAAGGGGTAAAAGATGAGATAGTGCTGGGCTCTGCTGCGAAGAGAATCGCTACACATTCTGAAAAAAAGAAAACGGTAATCGAGTAAACCTGCGTGAACTGGAGAAGATCATCTTGGAGTGATAATGTGACGCGCCCAATACAAATGCTGAACATTTTTCGTCCTTCCTCCCTAGTCCATCAAAACCATGAAAGCTAATATTGCGAGCAACTGGATAAAGATTGGATCGACCGATTAGAAGACACGTATCTGAAGGGAAGTAGAAATCCGGAGAGTAAGGTGTGACACCAAGGGGAGAAGAAAATAGAGGGCAGATGACGCGTTTGGTGAATGTGCGGAGAAACGGGGGACGAGCCTCGAGAGAAACTGGGTATTTACATATATCTCCTCGTGGCTAAGGGAAATGTTATCACAGACGATTGGCCAAAAATAATACTAGTACGTAGTTTGAAAACTCCCAATATTTACATCAGATGCATGAGACTCGAGTGTATCTGGAGCATAGACAGGAACAATAACATCTGCCTTGCACAAAAATAGACACCACTTGGCTTGGTCAAAGATTGATGGCTCCGGGGAGGAAAAGAAAGCCCAAAAAGAAAAAAATAAATGCCTCCGCTCGGGTTTGAACCGAGGACCTCTCCCTGAGTGGAAACCACTCCCTGCGATGCACCTTTTGGGGGAAAGGGGCAAGGGGAGGGTGCATCGGGATGCAAGTAACTCGGGAGCGCGCTACCACTGCGCCACGGGGGCCTTTGTTGAATGAAAAGCCCGGGGAACTAATATATAAGGCTACCATGGATGCCTCTGCGCGTTAGGCGAGAACTCGCGGGCCGTTTGGTCCGGGACGGAGGCATGCGGAGTCCTCTACCGCTTGCTCGCAGCATACCTGCATAACATTGCAGAGGACCAGAAGGGGATCCACCAAGGATCTGAGCCATCACGTTTATGAATCTTCTATCTGGTCATGATGGTATTGTGCGAGCGTTTCCATCTCATGCACTTCTAGTGCTGAGGGTATGTAAACATATGGACGCACTGACTGTGAAAAGATACTGAGGATTACCAAATTCAAGGCTCTCGCTTTATCTCTCTGCCAAACAAAGACTTGTGTTTCTCTCAGAGGACAAGAAGTTCAGTCTGTTTATGAATCCAAGGAAGAAGTTGTACGTGTTGCACGAGTGGCCAAGCTACAGACGTGACCTTGGGGTTGACTGGCTGCCCACCCCCACTGCCTTACCCTCCCCGTGTGCAAAACATAGCAGCAAAAACATTAAGAAGTAAAATCTGACAATCCTCTGAATATTGAAATATTACTTGGATTGATTCTAGAGCAAATCGAGTTTTGATCTTAGAGTGACAAGAAGATGATCCACACCGACCTATGGCGAGGAGGTATACATCTGGGTACATGCATGTCTCATTCTACAGATGTAGGATGAATTCTCTCCCAGTGCACCATTCACGTGATAGAATTTGCGTGATAGCGCGAATTTCCCACGGCTGGCGGAGTTCTTGCCTTTTCCCACCGACACTTATCGCCCCTCAACCTTTCACCGTCTCAGGTTCCCCGCCCTGATTTTGTCCCATCTCTACCCTTCCAGGATATCCCACCATTTTATAACCCATTTCTTCCATACTCCGAATTCATCTCGCTTATAGCATAGTCCACCCATTCTGTCGGCACAATGAGCACCCAGAAATCTCAATACCTGGTTCACTCCAACGGTATCTACCACGGGCTCCCAGTGTTCCCTGATACGCTTCAAGGCTTGACAGCTATCGTGACTGGTGCCAATGGGATATCTGGAACCTATATGGTGACTCCTCCTCTCCTATCAGCAACGTCGTTCTGTGCCATCAGCGAGCTTACTCTTTAACTTGACAGATACGGGCCTTGTGCGAGAATCCAAAGCGCTGGACGAAGATCTATGCTCTCTCCCGCCGAGAGCCATGGCGCCAATATCCGCCCCAGGTCGAGCATGTATCTATGGATCTTCTTCAGAGCCCCAGTACAATCGCGCAACAACTATCAGAGAAGAAAATAAAGGCAGATCATGTCTTTTTCTTCGCCTACATCCAGCCGAGCCCTGTTGCGGGAGGTACCATATGGAGTGCCGCCGATGAAATGGTCAGAGTGAATAGTGAGACGCATCTAGACTTACTGACTGTATTTGACACAATCACTAATTGCTTCGTGGCACAGAGAGTCTACTCGGCAATTTCCTACAAGGGCTTGCCGGCGCCGCCGCGATCCCTCAACGAATCTCGCTGCAGCTTGGATCGAAGTACTACGGTCTTCATCTCGGCCCCGCCGCTGTGCCCCAGGAGGAATCGGCGCCTCGTGTCGGCATTGAGGCCAATTTCTATTACGAGCAGGAGGAACTTCTCGGCGATTTCTGTAACAAATACAGTTGCCAGTTCGTCACCACCCGCCCTTCCTATCTCCTTGGCGCCGTCCCGGATGCTGCCATGAACCTCGTCTACCCCCTGATGGTGTACGCGGTTGTCCAGAAACACCTTGGCAAGCCTCTCGTCTTTCCAGGAGATCTAGCCTGCTGGGAGAACGTCTTCTCTTTCTCTTCGTCCATGATGAATGCCTACTTTACCGAATGGCTCGCACTCACAGACGTTGAGAGTGGAGATTCCTTCAACTCAATTGATGACTCCCCCTTTACCTGGTCGATGTTCTGGCCCAAGTACGCCGCGTATTTCAACATGCCCTGGGAAGGCCCGGAGCACTGCACGGACGAGGACTACATGGAAATGTCTCTCCCTTACGCTCCCCCACCAAGAGGTTGGGGCCCGCCTGGCAAGCGTCGATTCCGCTACACGCTGGTTGCATGGGCTCAGAGATCCGTTGTCCAAACCGCATGGCGTGAGATTGCCGCAGAGCACGGGCTCCGGAACTCCAATCTCGGTGATAAAAACCGCATCTTTGGCTTTGCTGATGCAGCTGTACTGACTGCCTGGCCCTGCGTATCGACCAACACCAAGATCCGTGAGACTGGGTTCTTCGGAACGGTGGACTCCACTCAGTCTATCTTGAAGATGTTCGACGAGTACGTTGAAATTAAGATGGCACCGAGGGTCTAGAATGGCCAGGTCCTTTTGAATGTATGTCAAGGCTGGAAGTGTAGATGTGTTCTCTTTCATGTGCCCTTGGTTCAATCGCATAGCTCTCTCCTTTAAACTGCGCCTCTGGCTTATTTATCAGATCATGCCACTTGATATAATTTGATTGGAGGCACTCTTGATGAGTGTGGCTCGCGTATTCACACCATGGTGACGTATGACTGAGATTCACCAATCACATCGATGCACCATCTGCACATTTGTTGGATTCTGGCCACACCCTGAACCACCGAGAACCCCGCCTATAAGACATGTCCAGGTGAAAAAAATCAATATCCAAGCAACTATTTTTATGTAAAGAACAAACCATTACGCAAGCATGTCTTCTATCACCACAGTAGAGCTGTCTTCGATGAGCAGGTCTGCGACGCCGGTCCCGGAGATCCGACAGCAACCCTGTGCACCAGCAACGCCAACCGAGACTTATGTCGTCCAAGCGCACGCCCCGGAGCCCCGTGAATCCTTGGACCGAACGCCAGAGCCAGATTTAAGCCAGCATATTGTCAGCGTGTTGTGGTGTAAAGAGAAGAGCATGGCGATCATGACCATGGTGGCACTCCTCCTTGGATTTGCCTCTCTTGGATTTGGCATTGGAAGCTGGTTAGGCCAAAAACAAGGGAACGATATAGCGACAAAATCTCTATGGATTGATAGATATGGAATATGTTCGGATCACGAGGTAAGCGGAGATTCTGTGCACAGAACTGGAGCAAATCAATTTTCTTACACGTGGTACCCTCTTACTAGGAACTGCGCAAGACACCTCAATGCCAGCAAATTATCGCAGAGACCTTACAGGATCTAAATATTAATGGGAAACTGCCAAGAAACCAGACTCTTCAGTCACGCGCCGTCAATCCATTTGAGGTATGCACACATCCATATAAGATGCGGCACCGACACGTCCAACATATGATCGACTGGGTGCCGCGCCAGCTGGACGTTTATATTCGGGCATCAGTGATTGAGTCCGAGATATCGGCATGTCTCCCACTTTCAGCCCGGTCGATACCGGAAATAAGAAGAACTTCAGTTAGTCTCGCGCAGAGATATCAGTTTGCAATGAGACCGATACTAGCTGGGGTTGTGGAGCCAGAAGACGCTGTGCTGGACAGCATCGTACGCGAAGTTGAAGATATGTACAGTGTGGTGGCTGGCATCAGCAAAGCAGACGAACTCTGCTTGTCGGAGAACGGCATGAATGTTAATCATTTCAATGCATGGAGAGCGGATCTCGTACATAATCATGAGACGCGACCAAAGCCCATCGCCAGTCGGAGCGAATATCGGTCGTCTATGCTCGACAAGAAGCTTAGCAAGTATATCAGCGCCAGCGACTCGGCTGCTATGGAATCGAAGCTTCGATATGCAAAGATTGCATGGGCTGCTGGTATCCTCACTTTCCTCCTCTTGCGACTGATCGTTGCAAGACCTATCCCAACGGCCCAATTCAGTCCTGGAATGTTGGCGCTCGACATCTACTTGATGAGCCGCAGAGTGGAGCAGACGTATACGTCTAGCCCGCTGAGAAGCAGCGTCATATTCTTTATTACCAGCTTGTGCTTGAACCGACTGTATCTCATGATTTCATCCAGGGACCACATTTTGCAGACTAAACTGGAACGCGTCACAGCCGCTACCTTGATCATCTGCTGTGCGGCCAATATTTCACGGCTTTTCTTCCCGACCACATACTTCTTAGCTTTCGCCTATTGGTTTTTGAGGGTGTCAGCCGCCGAGTTGGACGTAGGGATGTGGGATTCCTTGACAAGTTTGGTTGCCTCCTGGGCGACTCTATGCCGGAAAGATGTGTCAAGATATTCGTGGCTCATAGTCTCGATACCCTTTCTATTCATCATGCTCTCAAGTGGATTGATTTTTTGGGTCCTTGATGAAAGGTTTGGAGGCCTGTCTTTTGTGATTGTCTTCATGTTGAGCAAAATCTGCTGGCACCGGTAACGTCAACTATTTTTGCGTGCCGCCTTTTGTCTAGTTAATAGACACCGAAGCCTTGGGAGGGGCAGAAAGTTTGAGGCGATTCAAATCAGATTAGAATTGATTGCCTCACTATAGGTCAATTCTATTCAAAGCCATCGGCATATTTTGATGGCCTCGTTACGTTGATTGAACTCTACAATTCGTCCTCTTCCGACCTTTACAGCCCTATCGGCACTCTTGCTTTCCACCCATCTGCTACACCAATTTTAAGTCAAGAGTGGAATCTACGTCGTTGCAATCGATCAAGTCTACGAGTAGCCAGTTAGTTGAATAGAATTTTTTTCCCTATGAAATATGTTTAAGGTATACATGGATTCTTCTTCTCTTCCTCCTCCTCTACTCTCCTCCTCCTCTCCTCCTCTCCTCCTCTCCTCCTCTCCAAGTAGACGGGCATCTATGCCAATTCTCATGTCGTTTTCTTCGTCGTATGGGTCCTTGTTCTCAATGGTTGAGAACAAGGACCCATACGGAAACCTTGTATTTCGGCTCCTCATCTCCAGACCCTGGGTCCGACCTCGACTGCGGAGGTATTTGCGGTCGGCACCCAGGGCCTGGCCAAATTGTCGGCACTCCATATTGAGTGCTGGTGAGTATTGTCAAAGTGTCAGCTTCGAGATGACTTACTTTCAGGCCGAAGTGCAAAAAGAAATGCGAACTTACTCTTGTGGCTGTAAAACATGTTGGATAAATATATATATAAATATATTTAAAGTGTTTAAAGCCCGTGGGCTCTCGTGGAGCGGGTTCCCATGGGGTGGTTGGTCTGAGGACTGAAGAGACAGAAAGGTTAGCGATGCGTCCCAGGTCAAGAATTGAAGAGACTTACTTTTGCGTAGATACCCAACCACCCCATGGGGGTAACGAGCGAGTTGTTCTGGTTAGACTTGTCAGCGTCAGGTCGAATCTTCATGCGATCATGTGCATTGCGGACGCACCTTGGCCCGCAGCCCCGGCGCGGGGCCGCGGGTGGGTTTATCACCCTGAAATCGGTTTGTCCGGAAGAAACATTGTAAGGATGCCGGATAAGAATATGGATATGAATATTATAAGGATGGAGATGTAGTGAGAGCGTTGTGTGATGGAAGAGGAAGAAGAAGAAGAGAGAGAGGGGGGGAAGAAGAGGGAGTAATAAAGAGAGGGGGTGGATAGGAGAGAGTGGAGACAAGGGGCAGAGGAGACAGGTGCCAATGGAGAGAGGCGAACGGAAAGAGCAGAGTGTGCAAGCGTGGACCGAAAGCAGGGAAGGGCCGTGAAGCAAGAGACTGAATCGAGGGAAAGTGGCATTGCAAACCTAGCACTTGAGTAGGCATGTAAGCGAAGGGATACTGACCTGATGCTTCCTAAAGCAAGTGGGGGAGGTATATGGTACGCCACACACATGTAGCGATACGAGGAACTTAGGCTGACCGTGCATCGGTGATACAGGTACTTGGAACAAGTGCTCGGAGGGGATAGTTCTCGACATGGAGATCGATCCTCGCCACTTGCATTTTGCTGCTACTTCCTCGCTCGCCATCAGGTACCTTCTGAGATGAGGTTGAGATTTCATCTACGTCAGCCTGCTTCTTTGGGAGAGTCTAGAACGGAGCGGTCCATGCGATCCTTCCCCAAGTTGACCCCGTACTTGGGCACTCAGGGTGCACATACTACTGAATGCATCATGACAGTATACAGAGAAATCTAGGTAGAGATCTTGATGGAGATAACATTACAAGGGCGACTTTTTCCAATGCCTTGCTTAAATGATTAGGAGCACAGTGTTTATATTAAATGCTGATTCCGTAGAAAAGGAGATCCTAATTTGACCAGTTCGCTCCAAGACAGTATTCCAAACGAGTCCATTCCTGCCCAAAATGACTCCAGCGTCTGTCTGACATGTTCACCAAACTGCGGCGAAAATCCTGTGAACTTGGTAACGTCACTCAGCCACTTCTGCCTCTCAGTTCCCTTGAGCTCCAAGCAAGCAACCAGCAAGGCGAGGTCAACACACCGCACGATGCTTCTCGTGGCCGCCAGTGTTGTCTCCAGCTGCGACAATATGCTCATAGAAAGCATCTGGGCCGGTCCGTCGTTCACGCCGAACGGGAAGCGAAGGCGGTGGGCGATCAGTAGGAGCGCTTGGCGCATGACCTGAACCTGGCATAGCATGTGGGTGACCTCGATCGTGTCGAAACGCTCTGTAAAGTCTTCTGGGGGCTCTGGCTGCCACGCGCGCACATATTCCTCGATAGCCTCGAGCTCAGTATATATATCAGTGGTATCTACAGGTCCTTTGGACAGCGCGTGGCTCAACTTGCAAACATCGTAGAAGCACGGTATTACAGAAGCACACAGGCCAACGTGACGATCGACGTAGCTCTTTTCGGGTGCTCTGAAACGTAAGGTAGGCAGCCCGCAGCTGAAGAGGCAGCCTCGCACCTCCCACATCACCATGCAGCTCATAAACACCAAGGGCTCTGGCTCTTTCGGGTCGCTCGTGTTATAGATGGGCTTGATTAGGGCGAGTGTCCGGGAACATATAGCTAGCACGTCGTTAACGCGTAATTTGACAGCAAAGGACGAGACTAATGCGCCGAGCATGAGGGCCTCCATCATCGTCTCCGGGCTCGTCGCTTCAAGAGTCATGAGGGTAGCAATCGCAGAAGATGCATGCCGATAGCACGCAGTCAAGCGACGGAAATTGCCGGAGTCATCAACGTCCCCGGCCCAGGAAATAGCACACGCAAGCAGCCCATCTAGAAGGGTGGACTTGGATAATAGGAGCTGTGGAATGACCTGCCGGCGTACCGGCTCTGTGAACTTGTCGCTGACTGAGAAGAGGTCGAGCATTTCGCTCTGGAAAAGGATCCGCTGTACAAGTTGCAGAATCTGTCGGTCCACGCTCGGCACGCTGTCGAACTCCTGGATACATCTGGGAATAACTGCGCCTCTCCGGGTCTGGGCTTGGAGCCTCGCGCAGTGCAAACGGTCTTGATGCGTTGGGAGGTCTCGAGATCGCCGGCTGCCCCATCCCTCCCCTCGTCTCCGCCCTGGTTTCCCCTTTGGCCTTGTCGATTCGCAAGCAAATTGTAGGCGGATACAGCGCTCGCATTCTGACTTGTCGTCGATCCATTGACACCTTGCCTTCACAGCGTGGCATCTATCGCAAGCCCTCGGTGGCCCTAACTCACCGTGAATAATGAAGGATGTCATGGCGAAGGCCAGACACCAGGAGGTGTCCAGTTGTGAAAGAGATGCCGATTGTTTCGGAATTCCGTTCAACTGGAAGCTCTGATGCGGAGCCGAGGTGAGATCGGGAACAGGTTATTCCGGACCGGCGCGCCCCGCCCGAAACTATCACCGGACTTCGTCCAAGGGAAACACCTGATCAACTATTGGAACGACATCCCCATTTGGCAATACATTAAATACCACAATTTTGGAATTGACTCAACACTTACAACGCCAAATTTCTTCCTGTTTACTCAAACGCTTCATTAACGGGCAAGGCGGATTGCTGAGCGTTCGTAAAACTTAAGGGTATTCGTGCGCCAAGCTCGAACCCTTGCACAGGATTTCATCTGGAATTAACTAACAAAACGTTCTTCGACAAGGGCCTTTGATGCAGTTTTCTCCACAACGTATTCTTTCATATTATCCTCTAGAAGCACGCACTTAGCAACAGAAAACAAAGCGCTGCTTTAGCAAAACTAATGGCACAATGCCCCTGAGCACCAGTCTTTGAAACTCCATGTTAGTTAATAAAAGTTTCTACTCCCAATTCAACACCAAGATACATCTGGGCCGTCCCTTGTTGGTTCAATGATGACTAATTTGCAAGTTTACCATTCATAGGATCCCGCCCATCAAACTGGCCGTCCTTTGCCTCCGGCTAACCCGAACCCGCCGATGAGTGTCCGTTTCTCGAGGCTCGAATACTTCAACACAAAGTTCATCGTCGCTGTTCAAACGTTTTTAAACGGCCACCCACGCCCAATACCCTCGCCACCAATCCTCGCACCATCAATCTCGTATCTAAGCAACGGATTGCCTCAAGCAGTTGTCAATGACCTCCGCTGCGGCCAAGCACTCTTCGTCTCGCATGCGGCTGGTAAACACCTGAATCGAGGAGGGTGCTCCTGCAACGGCTTCGGGATTATCTGCAGTCTCAAAGTTAGATTCTATCAGTTGCTATCAGAGATGGGGTCAACATGTCCGGATGCCTACATGGAGGTGCGCCCTGCCCTGGTTTGGCAACAAATTCGACATCAATCTTCGACGCTTTGCCAAAAGGGATGATGCAAGCGGGATACTGTGTTGATGTTAGATGTATCTGTAAATAGCATGTACTCGCCAAGACTTACATCAAGAAGATTCAAGAATGCAGAATAGGCCGGCCAGCCAAAGTTGTCGTGCTCCACGGCCGTATGCTGAGCAGAAGGCGAGATGACTGCGTCCAGATTATGCTTCACCCACAGCTTGCGCCACGCCTCGGCAATCTCGGCGCGGATGTACTCCAATATGCCATACTTGTCGAGTCGATCCTTGCCAGTCAGGTCGGGCAAAAAGTCCCAGCCAATCTTACTGACCTTGTCACTAAAGTTGCTCAAGCACTGAACGGGTGGCTCACCGCTGGCTTCCAGAATGCTGCCTGCTGTTGTGTCCAAGGTGACGAGCTGTGTCATGATTTGATTTGCTTCTCCAACGCGGCATTCGGATGCATCCAAGATCACAATTTCGTGTCCCTGCGATTGGAGGGCCTTGACTGCTCTGTTGATCGTTTCCTCCACTGTAGGATGGAGCGGGAAGAACGGATCAGCTGGGAGAAGACCCAGGCGCAACTTGGGCTTCTTGGTGAGCGATCGCCACGGCGCGTCGATAACCGCCCCATCATAAAGGGCGGGCTTGGCGTCAATAACGGTTTTCATAAACAGTTTTAGAGAGTCGATGTCGTTTGCGAGCGGGCCAGCTGTCGGTTTAATCGGCCAAATTCCAGCGCTGGAAGGCATAACCTGCTTTCCAAAGGGAAGCCTGTCCGCCGTTGCCCTCAATCCGTACACTCCACAGCACAGGGAGGGGATTCGTATAGAACCTGGACGCAGTTAGACATGGTAGTTGGAATTTTTGCGGTTTATTTGGTTTTCTTACCTGCAAGATCAGTCCCAACTCCCAGAGGAGTTCCTCGGAATGCAACCAGGGCGCCTTCGCCTCCGCTTGATCCGCCGGCCGTAAGCATCGTGTTCCATGGATTCAGCGTGCGACCGAAAACATTGTTGTCAGATTCGACGGCCTTGTGGTTCATTAGTAACGTCATCTTTAGAATGGGCTGAGAATGCAGGCGGCACGTACCAGTAGGATTTGAGCCACGTTTGTCTTTACGTAGAGGACGGCTCCCAGTTCGAAGAGAACTTCCACCATGGAGGAATTCTCTTGCGAGGTGCGGTTGAGAAACGAAACGGCGCCGATTGTCGCTTGGGTGCCCTCGACCTGGTAGGTGTCCTTGAGGCTGATGGGCAGGCCGTGCAGAGGCCCGAGAAGTTTGCCCTTGCTGCGCAAGTCGTCCAAATACTTTGCCCTCTCCAACGCCTCCTTGAAAAATGTCTCCGTCAAACAGCCCACCTTCAGATTTGTTAGCGGTTAAGGGATCAATCAGGGAAAGGGGCATTGCGTGATGGTCAACTCACCAGCTGCTGAACAATGGCTGCGCGTTTCGAAAAAGCCAAAGTCACTTCATAAGAAGTGAACTTTCCAGAGGCAAGGCCCTCCAAAAGCTGCGAGGTGCTGAAAGATTCTGTAATTTCAATCTCTCTCTCCGTCAGGATACCGGAGCGGCGCGGAATGTCCAAATCGATCAGATTAACCTTGGTCTTGGGAAGGTCAGATTTTGCTGGGAGCGTTTCAAAAATGGACTGAGGAAGAATCCAATCTTTTGGAATGGCTTCTTGACACGCGGCACGCTTTTCAGCTGCTTTGGTCTGCCAGCTCTTGATTGCTGGCGAAGTTGCTGGCTGCGAAGTCATGGTGTCCGTTTTGTGATTGTGCTGGTGGTTTTTGGTGATGATGGAGGAGTGATGTTTGCTGGACTTTTCCTGGAGGGCAGAATGGCCTTATACTTATACTTCCCATACGCAGCCCATATCTGCAGACTTGATTTACAGTAGTACCGTGGTCTTCTATTGTTGATGGTTGTTTTACGCCATCTATCCCAATCTCCATCTTGATCGAACCTGGCAATATTCCGGCGGGTCAGCTCTAGGCATGATTAGGAAATAAGCCGGTTGGGACAATTGGCCGGCGGCAGGCCAACGCAGGTCACTATCTCCACCCATCCATCCACTTTACCCGCCATGGTTTCCTAGATCCTGTTGCCAGTCCACGGAACACGTATTTTTTTTTTGATAGATTACAATTCTCTCACCTGCCGATTCTCCGACAAGGCCAGATCAATAAGCGTGCTCGATTATTCATCGGGTCAAAGAATTTATCTAAGGATATTGGGGGTCGATTTCTAAGCAGCCGCGCCCAAGTTGCTCGTCCCTTCAGACCCACTTTCAGAACCGGAAGTCGCGACCGTTGCACGCACCAGTTTGGCAAGTGGGGCAACCTTCACTCTTCCCCCACCCTCCAAGCATCACCCACACACCCGAACACGAACACCTTTTAACTTTTCCATCATCTGGTTCTGCTCTCTATCTTCTTTGAGAGAGGGGCGCGAGCGCTGAAGGCGGAAGCCTATCTTGTCTGTGTTTCAGAATTTCTCAGAAAATCCGAAACACAGACAACTAAGGAATAGGAACCGAAGACGGAACTATTTTGATGAAGCTGAAGACTTTTTCGCTCACGGGCACTTGAATCATGAGAGACCGATTAACGTGAACGACGCAATGGCAGCGCAAACATCTAACACAATCACTGGACCCAACAGAGATGCTAGGCTCTTCCGGCCATTGAACCCTAGCTCCGAACAAACCGATTTCAGGGCGATAGACCGTTGAGGAGAAAAGAGAACTCTGCCTGGAGTCCCCGCCGTCGTCTCCGCGTTCAGTTGCGTTGTCGCGCGAAACCCACATCCAAGTGCCGGAATACTGACTGGCCTCCCTTTCCCCACACTAACAAGGACCGCAATGAGCCGGTCCTCCCACTTGTTGGAAAGTATCGCATTGATTGTGTTGAGATGTCGGGTCTGGCATCTTCTATTACCGTTTACCTCATGCTCGAAAACTCTCTTCCGTATCGACCTTTATTTCTTGAACCAGAGGAAGTTCTGGCAAGGAAATTGTTTTTAGGTAAGCAAGTGGCTTCAGCTGGACATGAGCTTGCCTAGCAGTCTAGTGATCTCTAGCAACGATTTTTCCACAAGCAGCAATTTAACCTCAATCCCAGATCAGGACCCTTGGCCAACAAGCCAGGAACGCGAATACGACAGCCCCCACCTGCTGTCTCAACTGTCCACGAGATATGGATCGCAATCATACCAAGAGTCATCCAAGCGCCCTGGTTCGTCCCCGATCATATCGCCGTCAAGACCCACGAGTGCTCCTTCCGACTCACTTTTCGATCTGCCATACACCCAGATACCAATCCATTCCCTTCACGCGCCGCTTTGTCGACTTTGGCTGGTCACCTCGTTGTTCTCACGTTCATACCGAAATGTCCACATATTCAAAGCACTTCCGACCCGTCGTACAGCTCCGCACAAGCCACGAGGCAGATAACTTCGTGAGACACAACAATTGGTCGATATTCGAGCTAGAGCACGGCACAACAACATAGAATCATAACCTACGACCCATACTGGTTTAGGATTTGTTATTCAGTTCCCTTACATTGTCATCGGACCCATTCTTAGGGCGTATTGGTGACGCCTTCAATTCTTCATATTGGGTTTATCAGCGAATTTTGGATGCCGGATCTGTCTGGAAGATAACATACTCCGCGCAGCGTACCCTGAGTGAACCTCACGGTCAGTCGCCCCATTGAACCTCCTTATAAAGTTCATACTCCCCCGACAGCCGACTCTTTGTTCAATCATTGATGAATGTCAAACTAACAACCAAAGATTTCAGCCATACATGATTCCCGAGACCCCATCTCGCCTGCCTTCAACCACAGGCCTAAAGTATGCGATGGATTCGGCTTATTGAACAACTTAATTGAGAACGGTTGAGCATGGCACGACTATCTTATTGGCGGGGTTCGAAGCTCGAGAGTTGGGATTCCCGGCCTTTGCATCGATCCAGACTAAGAGGCCACCTGATTTAGTTCGTGGAGAAGGCACTTTACAACACCCCAGCCTGGAGTCAACAAGCAAGGAGCATTGTGGCGCATACCCACGAGAACACCTCGGTCAAATGTATTTAAATTGGCTCGCCTTTGAGAGCTTTCAGAATCTAAACTCTACTAAGGGCACTATCTACCGGTTACAGTGACTGCCTCTTCCGCCTAGCACCTTCTTCTCATCTCTCTCTTGATCGAGATTTTCATCGGCTATTCAATGTTGTACCCAGTGAATCTCTAAGATCGACAACAGAGAATTCTCAGGCATAAAGACTTGATGCAACCTGAATCGCTCGTCCGCCGCTGCGAGTAGAGCTTTCCATTCATCCAGATATCTTGTACGACCGTTGGTGTAGCACTTCAGCATCAGATCCACTGACCTAATGATATTTGTTAGCAGAAATCGTCGGCGTCGTCTGAGTCAAACCTAGCAGCATACCTTTGAACTCGCTCTCTCCACAGGGGGACACTGTCATGCTCAGGCATGCATGCATCTTGAATGAGGATCTTGGCCCCAGGTCGGAGGGCCGGAATCTGTGCTTTCAGGATCTGGAGGGCGTATTTATCACACCAGTTGCGAAAGACCATGCGGAAGAAATAAACATCTGCCTCCAAGGTCTGTGTCTCGAACAGCTCATGCTTCATGAACTCCACGCGACCTTTCACCTGATTCGGGACATCTGACTCCGCGCCTTCGACCATCATTGCCACGTCTTGGACGGTGAGCTTGACATTTTCGAAGTTTTGGGCCAGTTCGATGGCGATTTGACCTCGGCCCCCACCAACATGAACGATTGAGGCATTCCCAATTGAGGCCCAGTCATAGTCCTTGGAGATGAGTTCGGGCGCGTGACCTGGAACGTGGTCTATGGCTTTCATTGAAGCCCCAAAACGCATCATCCGCTCGGGATATGCGCCAATGAACTCGAAGACGGGCTTATCGGTGTTGTTCGCTAGAGAGAAGGCCTTACGAAGGTCAACACAGGCTCTTTGCCATCAAGCTCTGGAACACTCAGACACTTACAGTTTGGTTGGGTTCTTCAGAACCAGGCCATTTCTCGATTGCGTCTACAACCTATGGCGAATCATACGGGTCAGAATACTGCTCATAGGAAAGCAGAGAAGAATGTTGCGCACTTACCCTTGTTGCCGCCGGCCACGTATCCCTACCTTCGAAGCTGGCCCAGGCATTGATGTACGGAATAGACAGGAAGCTGGAAATCTTTGTGTGAGCCACCATCTCTGGTTCAGGTTCTCTAAAGATGCGCATGGCCATGGCGTGTCTAAGCAGGCGTCGAACAAGTCCCTTATCCAGTCCTGAGCGCTGGGAAATCTCCTCAAAAGAGATCTGGCCACCACGAGGAACCATGCCCGCAATATTGTATCGGCTGATCGCGTCAATACCGACCATGTTGGGGATCTGGAGGTATTAGCTGATGGGAGGATTTCCGTTGGAGCACAGGGAAGATCCATACCGCAGCGAATTTATACAGCAGCTGCAGAGGGTCCAAGAGCAGCTCATGCAGCTCGGCTGTTGCATCTACGACGGAATCACGAAGAGACTCCAAATCAGCGGGAAAGTCTTGCGGGCTGTCTTCGGCGAAGGATGGTGAGGATATTCCTTGAGCTGATAGGCGCTCTTGCAGCTCGGTAACTGAAGAGCTGATCTGAGCAGCCAGCTCGACGATCCTTGGAGTGCTGCTAGGAGATGTCATTGTATCTGCTGCCTAGAATACAGAGTGTAAGAGAGCTGATATGCTTGGGGAGGCGGCTTCTGCTGGCTTTACTGGTTTGAATGCAAGAGAAGAGAGAAGAATGATGAGATTGAAATGGTCAGTCTGTCGGGGCGACATGAGCAGATATATATGCTCCCTCTCGACCCCTGAACCAAACTCCTCTCAGCCCAACCTCGCTTTGTGTCCCATATTTGGGTTATGCCCACATGATGGCTGATAGTCTCAAGGACTGTCTTGATCACGTGAAAGGCGCAGAACATATCCCAATCGAGCGAGTCTAAACGGCTTGTCCCGCTTAATAATGATGCAGGGTTGTTCGGTTGAGGTTGGTGGGCCACTTGGCGGATCGATCAGGTCAACGCAAACAAAAATCTGACTCAGATCAACAATTTGAGTTACTCTTCCCACGATAACCATGGGTGGTAATAGACGGGCGCTTATCGGGTTTATGCAATTTGCTGACAGTCTGCCAGACAACACACACCGCCAGCTTAGGGGTGGGACCATACAGAAACCTCATCACTCGCGGACTTTGATAGAGTGTCAAATCGATTTGAGGAGAATCGTGTTACACATTGACCTCGGCACTTATATCTTGAGAGCCGAAAAATGACGAGGCCAACTCTGAAGATTTGAATGATCACTAGAGTAGAGTTACTTGGTCAACGATCAGTTGATGTGAGCTCGGCAGGGCTAGAAGTTTTCACCAAATCATAACCCGTTGAAAGCCCAACAAAGCCTCAGTAGCAACTCAAGACAAGTGGAGCCATCACCAAGCTCTACCGGACGGCCTCCATACTGAAACAATGCAACCCTAACTCAATGCCAGAAGGCCGAGTCTCGACCTCTCATTTAAGATACCGAAGCTACGAATTAGGTAGGCTGTGGAGAATTGCCTACGGCTTGACATTCCAACAGAGCGGAGACGACAGTTTTGCCAACATGATTTAAGTTTCAGATGTTTCCCAGGAAAGCGTCCCGTCTACTCCCTTTGTCAATTTCCACACAAGCACGTCACCGTTTTGTTCGGTTTCCTTTTCGTTCGCCTCAAGTAATTCTATTGAGCAGCGATCGCTGAGATCTTTCTCAGTTCATGAGCTGACCGATTAAAGCTCGTTGGGACTGAATTCAATCGTCCTCGCTGCGGGTTGTCCGTTGAGAAGCAATCAAAGCTACCCCTCGACTATTTATTCTTTCTTTTATTCTACAACGAGCTCTATGGGAACGCCCCATAGATAGTCCCGATAGATCGGATCCGACCTGTCAAGGAGCGATGCGCTGCTAGGAGCTACATGCCGGGCATTCCGGGAGACAGGCCGGCACAAACTGTAATACTCTTCTTCACGTCCGGATCGACATTAGTCTGATTTTTAGGTTCAGCCTTTGACGAAGAGGCGCTCCCGTTGGATCTGCCTACGTATAAGAAATCCCGACGACCCTACTTTGGCAGAACGTGCCATAACTCCTCAATATGTGTTCTGAAAGAAGGAGTCCACATCACCCTTTGCCACAAGTCGCGCACCATGAATTCGTCCCAGTCTAATCCAAGCAGTGATGCATGGGTCCCCCCCCCGGATTCTCGTGCATACATTCTTACTCCAATATTAATTGCGGTGATGACGATTTCCAGCTTGCTTGTTCTTTTACGGTTGATCACGAGAGTATTCTTGGTCAAAACGCTAGGAATTGATGACCTGTTATCAGTTGCGTCGCTGGTAAGTTCATTCATCCAACAGTCTAGGTAACGAAGCCGGGTGACTTAGACCTGCTCAGGCCATTATAGGGGCTCTGACGGCAGTGGGAATCATAAGTAGGTGTTATCCATCGGTCATCCATTGCCTAGTCGGCTAACATGAAGTTAGGCGTTCAATATGGGGCAGGAACACATGTATATGAAGTTCCCCCCGTCAAGCTTCCACATTTTCTCAGCGTGAGTCACCAAATTTTGGAACATCCATCTCATAAGTCTGACGATCTTCCACAGCTAGTGACCACGTCTGAGCTACTCTTCGTTTTCTCGCTCTGCATGGTTCGATTCTCCAACCTTGCATTTATCGCTCGATTGAGCAGCGATAGTGGGTTTTTATCTATCCCTTCGGACGCACCTCACTGACCTGATCTCGAGAATGGTTTGTCAGGGGTATCTATGCAGTTGGGTTCCTGGTGTCTTCAATCACCCTAATTGCGGTTGCCTTCGTCCTGTCCAAGTGCAAAGATGTGAGGTGTGTAAGAAAGACTTTCTTCTCATGTCTTTGTCCGCAATTACTAATCGCTCTCATTTCCTATGTTCAACCAGAGACCTGTGGAATATCGAAAATCCCAACCGAGAATGCAAGTCGTTCAATGCGGAGTTTTCAGTCATGATCTTCCACGCCGGGATGGGGATCCTTATTGACGCGAGCATCTTGGCGCTACCCATCTGGATCGTCTTCCGAAAAATGAAATTCTCGCCCAAGATGGTTCGGGTTGTTCTCATTTTTTGCGTTGGCGCTCTATCTATCATTGCAGGGGTTTTGAGACTCAACTATTCCCTCCTCAATGTCGACGCTGATATGTACGTGTACACCCTCCAGCTCTCTAGCGACCTCAATATAGAAACTATAATGTAGCCTGCTTGAGAAATGGAACAATATACTGAATAAGAACTAACTCTGTTTGACCTATTGTAGCACTTACAATATTGGTGTCATGACTCTATGGGGTGGTATTGAGGGGCACCTTGGGCTCTGGACAGCGTGCTTCCCTGCTTTACAGCCCCTTTTCCGACTGGCTGGCGTAAAATTGGGGATTTCGAGGAGAACCCAAACCTCGAAGGAAACACACAAGAGCTATGGGAAGCCATAAATCCTAAACCTGTTCCACCATGAGACTCTGTTCCTTACCGGTCCCAGTTGAAATTCCGCTGTCGCTTGGGACACTAAGCTTCATGTTCTTTGACATCTGCCGCGCGATGGAGACCGGATTTCCTCCTTGTGAAAAGACAAGGTCGATATCCTCCAATTTGAAGTTGCTCGTCTCCGGGTAGAAAAAGTAGAAAGTGGGCACGAAAAGAAGGTTGGTGACCATGAAAATCAGGTATGCCTTCCACTGCAAGCGGTTGATGATGACTGGTGTGATCATGACCACGGTGAAGTTCCAGAGCCAATTGGAGCTGACACCAATAGCTGTTCCCCGAGTACGGGCCTCAAGAGGAAGAATCTCCGGGACATAGACCCAAGGGACACAGTTGACGCTCATCCCGAAGATCAACATGTATAGGAAGAAAAAGGCTACCGCGGCAGAAGCACAAGCATGGCCATTGGGGTGCCCGACTTGTGACAGGAGTGCCGCAACCATGAGCATACAAACACCCAGGCCCGTGCAACCCCACAGCATGGTCTTCCGACGACCCATTCGATCGAGAGCGAACGAAGGCAAGATGGAACCAAACATGAACATCATGTTGATACAACCGCCGAGGATCTGGGCCGTCTGCTTTTCCATCCCGACATTTTGAACTAGGACAGAGGGGATATAATAGACGACGAGGTTGATGCCGCCCGCCTGGTTCATGAACTGGACGCCCCAGGCAAGTAGTATACGGTACCTGGTACCAACGCTGTCCTTCTTGAAGATGCTGAAGAACGAGTCCCCCTTGTTGGATGAAAGTTCGAGTTCGATGGCCTTTTGGATAGAAGAGGTTTCTGCGAGTATAGAAGGGTCTGAGGGGTCCTTGTCGTGGAACTGACATAAGACATTGACCGCGTCTTCGTTGCGACCCTTCATCAATAACCAGCGAGGGGACTCTGGGAGTGCGAAGACCAAAATAATAACTCCAATGGCAAAAACCAGTTGAAAAGCAATCGGGAGCCGCCAGGCTACCTCACCACCGACAAAGGACATGCCAAAATCAAACCAATAAGCAATCGTGATACCGACTCCGACGAAAAGGACTTCGCTGGAAACCAGGCGACCCCGGGCTTCGGGGTTGCAAAGCTCGGATTGATACCTTCCTGCACTATCAGCCATTGCTTCCTGGTAGGATTGAAGATTCACGGCAACTTACATAGGAACCGTTGAAGTCTTTATTCCTGTGCCGAAGCCAGTGATGACGCGTCCAATGATCAGGTGAGCGACCGAATACGCGCTGGCCTGGAGGGTCGCGCCAACCAGAACAAAGCCCATGGCAAGCCAGATGGTTCTGCGACGACCCAGCTTGTCTCCGAGGAAGAAGTTGACTGGCGAAAATTGTCAGCACGTGCCAGGAACCTCTGCAGTAGCTGTGTACTCACTGACACAACCCGTAAGACAACCCAGATTGTAGCAAGATACTATAATTCCAGTCTCTGTGTCATTTGGGTAGCCAAACTGACGTTGCCAATCTTCATTCTCCAGGATACCACCCAAGACCCCCTGGTCATAGCCAAAGAGAACGAATGCGACGAGACAACAGATCGTGACACCGACCTGAACACTCTTGCCCCGTCCGAGAGAGAACAGAGCCATGGTTCGCGAGGGAGATGAGGGAGACTTCGAAGTTCGGATGGATTAAAAGGAGGAGATAAAGATGTAATTTCGGTACCAGATCATGTTCTGATGAAGTCGACGGATATAGAGAAAGTCTTGGTTATTAAATACCCTCGCACACATCACAGATTCCCCAAACATTTCCCCAAACCTCAAGTTTTCCAAGTCTACGTTTGGGGCAAGGAAATTGCGGGGGAGACTAGAGGGGAGAGAGTCCAATCTTGTCTAGGTTGGACTCACGCTAATTCTCTTAGCCAAGTTGACTGACATGCCGGCGCTTACGCTTGTACTTGCTGGATTAGATCATTCCATATCAACTGGAAAGACCCGTTGCATTCACTCTCTGTTGTGATGAAGCTATATGCAGCTGAAGAAAGAGACTATCTTACTTGTATCCTCCATCCCTATGCTTGACAGGTTGACTGTGTAAGTATGAGACTGGCCATGATTCCAAAACACCCAAGACTTGGCCCATGTTGATAGTACAGAGCTGATCGCTCTACTCTCCACTGCTAGATCTCTCCTTTATTTTTGAGATGAGGGCTCCGACATTGTGGATAACAGGCATGCGCATGCTGGTGGGCTACGCTAAACCCTCCCGTTTATTACTGGATATACCACCAAAAGGCCGCTGTCCTATTGATTACAGGGCATCTGGAACCGCCGCCTCTAGAACCAACGCCATGGTGAGCTAGGGGGGAAGGCTTTAAGCTCTAGGCGGCCTGTGGCGATGGTCATGTACGAGTCAGATGTTGGAAAATGGGGCCCAGGATCTATGGCGAAACTTTCGCCTGTTTTTGAATAACTTGGCAAATTAATCGTGTAAATAACAATAAGCAGTTGGCTCATAATGAAGGGCAATCCATTCCAAACCAATGTCTCCACAACCAGCGCTTCCACTTGCTTTTCTTCTGAACGGTTGAGGCTGGGAACCACTTTACTGAATCCCCATCGGATTGAGTTATGATCGTGCGCAACAGGGAAAATAATGGTGCAAATGGCAAATAGGGATCTTGAAAGACAGATTTTATAAAAAGACATACCTGTGTCGCATCTGTACCGGGCCGGGCCCGTGGAATTGCACAAAGGATATTGCATCCTGTAAATCTTGACGGCACAAGGACTGCCAGCAGCACATGGAAAAACTTTGGTGTGTCACTGGTTATGTGAGTTGCCGGCTTGGATTCGATGGGGAAATACTACCCAGCATGGCATCATAACTGGAAAGCGCATGGATGCCCGTTCAAGCTCAGATGGAGCCTAGACAATTATGACAAATCTAAGCCAGAAGCAACCTCAAAAATGACGTGGTCGATTTCGCTCGAGTATATAAGCGTCCAGCTTGACCAAAGCCGACGTGTGTGACAGCACCATTCACTAACAGCATTTGCAACCTAGCCACAGCTGCAAAACGATCACGATGTCAATCCCAGCTACTTCTCAAGCTCTGGTTGTCAGGCTCGACAGTAACGGCACCCCAAAGCTTGCCGAGGAACTGGTGCCAGTGCCTAAACCTGGAAGCCACCAGCTTCTAGTCAAGGTGTCTCACGTTGCCCAGAACCCCACTGATGGTGAGCCCATTCTGCTTCTTCGGCACTGGCATCTCCCTAAGCTACGCATGGCTGATTAGGTCCCTGTAGTTCAATCCTTTGATGGCAACGTGTTCGGTGATGGTGCCGTTCTCGGCTGCGACTTTGTTGGCCACGTCGAGGAAGTTGGTCCCAGTGCGACAAGGATCAAAAAGGGAACAGCCATCGCTGGTCTGATCTGGGGAGGTAGGCTCCTATACTCTCCGCAATCGCTTCATGCCAGAAACTTGAGCTGATTGGTGACTAGGTGAGACGAAGGGTATTGGCGGATACAGCAAGTATACTCTTGCCGACGAGCGCATTTCCTTCCCGGTTCCTCCGGGACTGAGCCCAGAAGCGGCATCTACTGTCCCGCTTGCATCATGTACGGCCGTGCTTAGCTTGTTTTCCCAGGGCTGTCTGGCTATCGATGCGAGCGGCGACGAAAAGCCGACAGTTCTCATCTGGGGTGGCAGCTGTATGTTCAACCACTGCATTTAGCACCTTGTTCCTTCCGGCTTGAGGCTGGAAAATGGAAATCTATTGCTAACCCCGAGTGAAGCAAGCGTTGGGCTGTATGCGGTTCAGATTGCAAGTCTGCGTGGATTGCAAGTCATCTCGACCTGCAGCCCAAAGCACCACGACCTTGTAAAGTCGTACGGAGCGAAGGAAGTATTCGACTATCGAGACCCAAAAGTAGTCGACAAGATCCGAGAGGCAGCTCCGGGTCTCCGATATGTGTTTGACACCATCGGAAACGAAACCTCTTCCAAGATCGCTTCCAACGCCATCACTCATAGCGACGGCGTCCTGTGTACCGTGCGTCCTGGCAAAGCCAACACTGAAGGCGTGCTCAAGACCATCAAAGTCACCGACGTTCTCGTCTGGACCGCCCTTATGAAAGACCATCGTTACGGAGAGTTCTTCTGGCCCGTAAGTACTCGAATCATTGCAAATGGATATGGAGTGGGAGAGCTTATGTACGCGACAGGCCAACAAAGCGGATCACGAGCTCGCCGCTGGCTTCTTTCAAGAGTTACCCGAGCTACTTGCCACAGGTAAGATCAAGCCCAACACATGCCAGCTGGACGTAAGTGGCCTAGATGGTGTGTCGCGAGGGTTCCAGGAATATCGCGATGGCAAGATCTCAAACTATAAGATCGTTTACAAAGTTTGAAATTATGCTTGAAGTGTACAGGCTACTGGTCAATTAATAAATATTCCATAAATCTTATATATAGATGGTAAGAGTTGGGGTATAAGTGTATGTTCCAGACCAGCGAGAGCTGGACATTGAGCTAAACCAGCTCCATGTGATGGCCAGTGTCAACTTATTTTCAACATCACATGCTAATTTCAAATTAGGGTGGGCTTATAGAACCATTATTAAGAGCATATTAGGTTGGAGCTGAAGCTACAAGCTAATTCCTAATCGTTACGAGTAACAATGGCGACTTTACAGGTTAATGCAAATCTTGCCAATGTGAGAACCAGAGGTCGTGTACTCCAAAGCCTTGACAACTCCCTCCTTTGAAGGTCTTACCGACAGGAATGTCGAGGTTGTGGTTGCCAACAAACTCGACCACCTCCTCAAGCTGCTGCTTTGATCCAATGATAATGCCGCGGACGACACAGCCCTTGCTCAAAGCCAGGCCGGCAACATCCGGCATATCCTCCTGCTTCGCGGAGGAGAGGAAACCGATGACGGAGATGATACCACCAAATTTGATAGCCTCGATGGACTGCTTGATGGTGCCGGAACCACCGTTCTCAAAAATGTAATCGACACCAACGCCCCCGGTAAGCTTCTTGGCCTCGGCAGCCCAGTTGGGAGTCTTCTTGTATTTAAGGACGTAGTCAACACCGAACTTCTTTTGGACGAACTTGAGCTTCTCGTCGCTGGAGGAGGTGATGATGGTCCTGGCACCAGCAGCCTTAGCGAGAACGAGACCAGTGACAGAGACACCGCCAGTTCCTGTAAGTACAAGTTAGCTATGGTTAGAAAGGGAAGCGGGGCTTGCGTGCATACCTTGGAAGAGGACGGTCTGGCCAGGAAGGAGAGGCTTAAGGCCGAACAGTGAGTTCCAAGCGGTCACACCAGTGCAGACCAAGGCAGCCCACTGCTCGGGCCTGAGGGGAGCCTCGGCACTTCTGCGGCGACGAATGGGCTAGTTTCTGGGCAGATAATGTTGCGCCCGGTGGAAAGTGCCTACCCGCGCCCCAGCAGCTGACATATTTACAATGTGATGGAACCTCCTAGATTCATCAGCAAAGGAGTATATGCCGAGACGCATGCTGTTATTAGTAAGCTATCGAATTTTTTTCCCCATTCTTCTCCCTTTCCCCTCTCATTTGCAGCCGAGAATAACGCTACCTTGGTGTACTCCGTAGACGTGGAACAGATTATAAATCTAATGTTATTTACATTCCCCTTATGTACGGGATCAGAGATTTATTGATTAATTATTAATATTTTACCTTTTTTTTTTTAAAAAAAAAATCTTATATATAAAAATGATAATTTACAATATAGATGTCCAGTATACTAAGGGAGGCATTATTACTCAGTACCGAGCGCTGGTGGTAACACCCCAGCGTTCCGATGATAAGGGTACTTCGGATCCCCGATGTAGCTGAGGTGCGAGAATAGGTTTTTGGGTTAATACCCGGGCGCCTCTGATATCTAATGTAAATAATGCCTTCAATACTTTAAGTTGTAGCTAGGGAACAGTGCTCTGGAATTCTGTGGAAACTATGAATACTACTCGATATTCGGTGGTGTATTCAAACCATCTCTACCTAAAATTTAGTGAAGGTAGAATATTCTGGATATAGTTTGAAATAAACTCCGAGTATTTTTCAGAATCCTTCAGTGTCATCACAGCAATAGAACCCAGGCCAAGGCTCACCAGTGCGCTCACAAAGATCCCGGGAACCGAAGACTTTGGGCTCTCCACCCTCCGGACTTCAAAGTCGGACCAGCGCGGGAAGATGGTCCGCAGCCAGTAGAGGAACATGGGATCCGGGTAGATGAATGTGTTCTTCTTCGTCTTGGGGTCCATCCACCAGCTCTGACAGCCGCTATTGAAGACGAGAATCTTGAGTTTGTCGTGCACCCAGGCGAGGTCACTGCGCTGAGCCTCTGGCTTGACCATGATGGAGGCTGCAGGGCCATGGTCTGTGAGGACTGGGCGAAGTAGGCGGCAGGTATAATTGATCTGGCACTCGGAGTGGAATATGACCGAGTGCTGACCCGTGGCAGCATTAGGGCCATACAGGATGAAGAAGTTGGGGAATCCTGTGACGACGGTGCCTTTGTAGGCTTCAGCTCCACCTGCGGTATCCCAAACTTGATGCAAGTCGAGACCATTCTCGCCCTTGATCTCCAGAGGATAAAGCCACTTCTGGGTCGCGAACCCAGTGGCGTAGATGATGGCATCTGCTGGGTAGGTGGCACCACTTGCGGTCTCGACATGGCGTGGGCCAATCTTGGTGACATTATCCTTGGCCAAGTGCATGTTTGGAGAGTGTAAAGCGGCGAGATACGTGGCCGTGTTGACCCTTCGCTTACAGCCGGGCTCGTAGTCGGGCCTCAAGACTTCTCGGTACTCGGGTGGAGCATCGTTCTCAATGTATGAGTAGGTAGTATCACGGATCTTCTGTCTCATTCGTGCTCCATCCTTGGTCATGAGGAAAGAATAAAACACCTTCTCCAGTTCCCAAGCGAGCAGGATGCGGTACATGCGAGCTGCTAGTGGGACATATTTCATCGAAAACTTGAATGCGGATGAGTAGGTTGGATTGCCCTGGAGATCGTCAGTCAGTTCTATACACATATAGAGGTCTTTCAGTAGCTTACTCTTTTAGTCCACCAGTGAGCGCTCCTCACCAATTGAGTGACCTTTCCTTTGGGACCGGCTTGTTTCACCAGTTCAGGGACGAACTGCGTTGCCGATGCACCATTGCCCAGGACGACAATGTTCTTGTTCTTGACCTCGATCGAGTCATCCCATCGAGCACTGTGGAACATCTTCCCTTCGAAGGAACCGGCACCCTCAATCTCGGGAATGGAAGGGCGATCCAGCGTACCAATGGCACTGATGACGATTGGCGCTTCACGGATGAACTGCTCTCCCGTCTGCATGTTCTCAAAAGTACAAGTCCAAAGCATGCGAGCCGAGTCCCAGCTCATATCCAAACACATGGTGTTGAACTGACAGTGAGGAAGGATATTGAATTTTTCAGCGACTGACATGAAGTAGCGATGGAGCTCGTCACGACCAGGGTACATGGACGTCCAGTCAGGGTTCAAGGCAAAACTGTACGAGTAAAAGTGGCTTGGAATGTCGCAGGCGCACGCGGGGTATCGATTGTGCCACCAAGTACCGCCGATGTTGTCCGACTTTTCGAAGATGGTGAAGTTGTCGTGTCCAAGGAGACGTTTGAGTTGGATGGCCATTCCAAGGCCTGAAACGCCGCCCCCGATAATGATAACCTCCTTTGAGCGAGACATCTTTGGCAAAACTATGTTTGGAACCGAGACAGATGATGGAATAACAAGAAAGAAGAAGCCAAGCTCCAGTACTTTGAAACTGACTTTGTTGGTGAGACTGATTGTGTTCACCGGAGGTGTGACCGTGGCTTTTCTATGAAAATATGACAAGCCTCGGATTGCTGCCTCACTTCATACATGTTTGTTGAGAACTGTTCCCAACAGTGCAATGTAGAGCGACGTTAATACTGAGGCCCATGCGCAGGCGCTTCGAGCTGCATCGTTTTGCGTGCAGGCGTTTGCACTTGCTCCAGATCATGGGGCTAGTCAACTTACTGTGGATCAGCGGCCAAAATCCCCAATGTAGTTAGTGCTGTGGGCTTTCAGTGATTAGGCAAGCAGCTGACATAAAACATGGCGCACCAAAGCTCTTTTCACTCAAGTCAGGGACCTCATTCTCTTATTAATTATACTGCTAGATATAACAATGATTAAATAATGAATTATTCTACACTATTTTGCCGGACATGGTGCTTATTCCCGGATGAAATTCATCGCTGAAGATTCTGGGTATCCCATGTTTTATGTCAGTGCCTGTCATGGTAATTCCAACCACTGAGGCCTGTGATCGGCAAGGCAAGGTTTGTTAGGCTAGCCGAGTTAATAAGTCACTGCAAACGCACCTCGTCCATTTAAGGTCAGGTCTACCCCCTGCAGACTTTGCAGATGTCTACTCCAACCGCTCCCTTAGCGAGATCTCATCTTGCGACTCACCGTGACAATGCCTCTCCAGTCCCGCATATCAATCGCGCCGACAGTGGCTCAAGAGACGAGACAGAAAAAATACTGTCGCTCTCGGTCAGGATGGTACTGAAACCCTGAAATAATCGAACCTTGACCCTTGCTGATCTGTAAGGATAGCCTCCCTTGTCGCCGACGGAGGCGAAAGTGTAGGCAGCCAACCCATTCTAGATCATCTTCAATAGCCTTGATTCCTATTGCCTTGAACTCCACGCTCCTTTATTTTTGGTTATTGTAGGCTCTGACTGGGTGGTATTAGGCGATGGGCATCATCCCATCTGTCGAGAATGCAAGAGGCGCAGTGTTGAATGTAGCTGGGGATTGAAGGTCTCTTTTCACCCATCGAGAACCCTGCAGCTCTCTTCAGAGCACACTGCTGCCCTATCACGTCTGGATAAGCAGAGGAAAAAGACTCTAACCGACGGGCCTGGCTGTGGCCGGCAGCCAGCAGCACCCCTCGTTGTAAGTATTATTTCCTTCCTCCTCTTGCCTGGGCAACAACCAACTGGTTACCCCACTTTAAGATTATCAATGATACCCAAGAAATTGTTCGTTCCTTTTGCAAAGATGATGAAGTGTCTTTGGTGGAAGAGTCCGGCAGCGATACTTCTAGCCGACCCCCACCAACAGAGCCCGATGAGCCCGATGACTGCGACTCGATTGTTATCCTCGACGAAGTGATACCACACGGAGGTTCCGTGAGATCTGTTAGGGAAGGAGGACAAACGGATGATACGAGCACCGTTGGCATAAACAGTGACGTTGGAGCTCTGCGGGCTCAGGACAGGGTATTTGATCTTTTTGACACCCTACCTCCACTTCCCAACCTGTCACCGCCAAACAATCCAACACCGTCATTGATCCCGGACTTCTGGGATAATGACTTACCCAACGCTCCTTTCTTTTTGGGGCATGCCATTTCGAGGGGCGCTTCTCCAGATCCTGAGCCTAGGTTTCCTGTCTCTCAGATGGTCAAGGCTGATCTCATGTCCGCATACATCCAAGAGACTGCGACATGGTGCGAGACCACCGACTCGGACATGCATTTTTCGGTGAGGAGTGTTCATGACATGATGAATTCGAAACCCTTCGTCGCGGCAGCAATGTCCCTCGCTTCTCGGCAACGAGATGCCGTGCAAGGTCGCCACCGACAGCTCACGCTCGAGCTTTATCAGTACACTATTCGTCTCTTGCTGGGACAGGACCCTACGAAACCGGATGCGTCGATTTTAGCGACGTGTACCATTCTTTGTGCCTACGAGATGATGGCGTCGAGCGTTTCGGAGTGGAGGCGTCATCTAAGAGTATGCTGATCTATACTCCTGTGCCAATATCAAAGTCATACTAGCTGACCCTTACATGTCGATATAGGGTTGCGCAGAGTTATTAAGAATGTGCAAGTGGAACGGTAACAGCGAAGGTATCGTCAAGGCTTGCTTCTGGGCTTTCGCAAGGATAGGTGCGCCGTACTCCCAGCCGACAATTAGTTCGTCCGGAACTCTTCCACAACAACTGCTGACGTATGGCAGATGTATGGGCAGCTTTCATTCTTAACCAGACCACGTTGATCCCTACAGACTCGTGGGTGAATCAAGATTCTCTTGTCTTGGTTGCTGCGACAGGAGACACTGACGATTACTGCAACCTGGCCATTCTGATCTTCGCAAGGATCATCAACGTTCTCAACGAGAAAGGTGGCGCTAGACGCCAATCCCAGACCAAGCTGAGAGACAACGCCCAGAATTTGTGGGAGGAGCTGCAGCTCTGGCGACGCTGGTGCCTCCCAAGTGTAAAGCCGTTGATGAGAATAGAGCAGTCGGAAAAGAGCCCCTTTCCTACAATCATGTTTGCTCTCTCTTCGTCGAGTAAGTCAACGACCGTATGGTATGCCCGCTACAGACCAAGGCTGATCCGATACTAACTAGTATGTGGAAATACCTTCTACCACGCCGGTTCAATACTGCTCCTGCAAAGCGGATTAGTCAACCCCGACCCTTCCTCGGAAATGGCAACAGCAGTGAGCAGCCTTTTCAATGAAGCCGCCGCGACGGCTTGTGTTAACATTAAATAGCTCAGTCCGCACTGGCATGCCCGGGAACTAGGGGGAATCTCGATCAGCAACTCGTCCCAGTAAGTCTACTCCTCTGTCGACTTTATATTTCGGTTTTAGTCTCAATTTTCTCACCTTCGATACGGCATTCAGTGCAAATTGGGTAAACCACCTTCAGCCCTTGTATATCGCCGGTACGGCATTGGGTGGCATACCCAAGGAAACATTCTCCGGGCAATTGCGGCAAGATGTTGGGCTGGCCGGGGGCATGAACCCCGGTGAGGACACTGATGATCCTACGGACATGGACTACTTTGCTGCCGAAAAGATTGCTCTCTTGCGGCATTTGGCCAAGATTGAACGCGAAACGGGTTGGAAAACGAAGGAACGAGCAAGAGATCTGAGAGTTCTTTGGGAGTTGGAGAATTAATTCCAGCCTGGCAAGTGGCTGTCAGAAAAACAGGGACTGCAAAGTCACTTCGATAGAATTATTGTGGCAGTCAGGCACATTATAATGGTTCTTATTATCTTCATATTGTGTAATGGTAAGTAGATATTGCCCAATAGTTGCTCAATAATTTATTATTGTTGTTACCCTTAACGATCTTGTTGTCTATCAATACCGTGGCCTGTATTAGAAAATCTATGCATTGAGTTGAGTTGTCGGGCCCTGGCAGCTTCATTGCTGTTGAACTTTATTCTCTTTCTCTTCCGCATGTCGCCCAGGCCTGCTCGCGCAGAAACATGCAAATTGTGTGTCCAGGTCCATGAATGCAGGATGGCACCAGATGTCTTGGCTACAGTGCTGCCCGGGTCCATGCTCCATGATTGGAACAACCACCTTTTGGGCAGTGCAGAGTCCCAGGTGGATAATCAACAATGGCATCGACTTGAGTGCTTTCTGTTTTCCTAAACTTCCCCAAAGATCGTCCTGGGTCTAGATTCCACAAAGCCATGGCGTATACCAGGGCTCGACTTGCCGGTCGAAGGACACCGAATATGTAAGTGGGGGCAGAAAACGGCAGGTGCAAGCGCTCCCCATAAGAGTTCCATCCATTATGTATGTAGGCAAGTGCGAATGCGCTTACATGGTTCCTACCTCATATAGCAATCCAGGCATTTCCTTTCTATTCGTGATGTTTGTTCCTTTTCTTGTTGGTTGACGCAGACATAATTTGCCCCGTCGCACGATGACTTCTAAACTTCTGTGCCTCCCACCGGAGGAGCAGCTGGAACTCAACCAGCCTGTTCGCTTCTCCGTCCGATTCAATCCAGACCTCATCCAACTTACACAGCAGAAGCTCAAGCTTGCTCGATTCCCGCTCGAGCAGAGCGACTTTGGGGCTGACGACTGGTCGCAAGGCGCAAAGGTGGACAAGGTGCAAAGACTGGTTCAGTACTGGCTTGATGAATACGACTGGGAAAGGCAAGAGGTTAGTATCGGGTCAACTCACGTTTCAAGCGGAGAGGAATCTAACGCTGTGACTGGCAGAAATTCCTCAACGACACGTTTAAGCATTACGTCGTGAAGCTTCAAGTGCCTGGCTATGGACTCCTAGTCTTGCATTTCACACACGCGAAATCGTCCAGCCCAAATGCCACACCGCTCCTCTTTTCGCATGGGTGGCCGGGGTCTTTCGTAGAGGCATCCAAGGTCGTCGGCCAGCTCAGCAATCCCAAGAACCCGAACGATCCGCCCTTCCACGTCGTCGCGCCCTCCATCCCGGGATTTGGTTTCTCTCCCGCTCCAACCAAGTCAGGACTGGGCCCAGAGGTCACGGCCCGGGCATTCAAGATTCTTATGACAGACGTGCTGGGATACAAGTGGTTCGTCACCCAAGGCGGTGACTTTGGGTCTTTCATTACCAGGTCAATCGCCCTCCAATTTCCTCACGTCGTTCGCGCTCAACACCTGAACATGTTCCCCGTACCACCTCCGACGCTGTTCTCTGCCCCCCTAGCCTACCTTCGTTGGTGCCTCTCTGAAGTTCTCTACTCTGATTTTGAGAGGGAAGCGGTTCGTTTCAGGCGCAATTTCGAAACAGACCAGAGCGGCTACCTGGAGCAGCAAAAGACGAGGCCTCAAACGCTAGGCTTCGCGTTGGGCGACTCTCCTATCGGTTTGCTGGCTTGGTTCGTTGAGAAGTTCCATGACTGGGGTCATGTTGAAGAGGCCTTTGATCCCGAACTTGTGATAACCCTCGTTGTCATGCATTGGATACAAGGGGCGACTCCCGCGCTAAGGTTCTATCGTGAGGCTTTTGGCACCCGGCGTGAGGCGGAAAAGACCTTTGAGGCGTACGTCAACTGCCCGACTGGCGTTAGCATGTATGCCAAGGAACAGCTACATGTAGGTAAGCCCCTGGAATGATCTACTTTATGAAGGTATGCTGACGGTTTATGTTTCTTACTAGTGTCCAAAGGATTGGGCTCAGCAAGCTGCCAATATCCAGTACTGGAGAGAGTACGGCACTGGGGGTCACTTCTCGTCGCTTGAGTGTCCGAAATTGTTTATTCAGGACATGAGGGTGTTCTTTTCTTCCAATGCCGTAAAGATGTCCATTAAGAAGGTGTCAGGTGGTTAATGCGATTCGTCGTCACAGTAATCGATTTTTCAAGGGTTCAAACGGTATTAGATCATCAAGTTGTAAAATATACGTGGCATTTGTGTGCTTATTGTTTCCTTTAACGTTGAGACATCCATGGCCTTCTCAAACTCTTCATTAGTGCTGAGTGGTGGTGCCTCCCTTGGTAGATTGGATACCCACATTTGAGCCATGCACAGTGTTGACAATCCCTTTTCCAACGTGCCGAGTAAAGGTGCCTCCCTGGGCAGCCATAACACCCACAATTCCGCCATGCACAGTGGTGACAATCCCTCTTCCAACGTGCTGAGTGAAGGTGCCTCTCTTGGTAGACTGGATATCCATAGTGATGATATTCCCCTTTGCATCGTGCTGAGTAAAGGTGCCTCCCTGGCCAGCCATAACGCCCACAACTCCGCCATACACATTCCTGCCATACACAGTGCTATCAATCTTTTCCTCCTACAGACTCGTCAGATCCAGTGATAGAAAAAGGGGAAGCAGCATTAACTCACAAGGGGCTCTAAGATAGAGTCAAGCGCTGACGCAAGAGCTCCATCTTGCTTACTTATAACTTTCCTAAGAACTCGGAGGCTCTCACTGAACTCACGAGCCTCCTCCATAATAGCCTTCTCCTGGTTTTGGGCAGCAGGGAAGAGATTCTCAAGCTCCCTGGTTTTGTCGGCGATGTCATCGATCATGACCTTGAAACGCTCCCGGTCTCGCAGCACCCATGTAGCCTTCTCGACGACAGAAAGGTGGTTCCGCCTTTTGCGGATTATCCGTCTGTGTACCTCATGAAGCGACAGATCTGCGTAGCTTAGCTCTTTCTTGGCCTTTAAGATGCTTGGATCATCTGCGTTGTATTCTCGATCGCGGTCCTTGGCCGTTTCCAACGCTGCCTGTATCGCGCCCAACAAGTTGATTGCCTGGGGTATGTGCTCTTCAACTACTTTCGTACTGTAAATGCTTCTGGTATACTCATCCACGCTGCTAAGGCCCACGGCCTCGCCCCAGCGCGACAGTCGGAGGTTCACATTGGCGAGTTTGAGCATGCAGTCATCATAGTGTAAACCAAAATTTTCTGTAAAGTGGATGTGCTCAAAAGTCTTGATGACAGAGTCAAAGGTGGATGCAAGATTGATGAGACTTGCCACTGCCATGGTGGTGGATTGTGGTTGGTGCAGGACTGATCAAGGAGCTTGATTGATTTTCAGCGTAAAGAATTTATTTGCCAGCGGAAGTCAGCCAGTTATATAACAACAAAAACACATAGGAAGGAGGCGGGGTTTGTTTGCCTCACTTTCTGCCCTGCAGCGGTGCGAACAAAGGCGGTGGCTGTGATTAAAAGCATCAAAGGCTCAGCGAAATCAGGCCTGACGCGGTTCATCCAATGACTTATGCCTAGCGTTTGAGATTAGCATCTGATAACGAAGGCCAAGAGCAGGCAAACAATGAACACAATCAAGACATATTCAGGGACTATAACAGTCTATTGTGTATCATTCACAATCGATTTTGAAACAATCGGATGGGTTTCGCGCGATGGTGTTAAAAAATAATTAGTGCTTGTTAAGATCCGGTTTTAGTGCGCGATCAAAGCGTTAAGATGCCGCTACTTTTGATGACTCTTAATTCATTTTTCCTGTCTTATTCGATGGGGTATCGAGAAGCCATAGCTTAATGCCCTTTCACCGCTCGGAGCTGCTTACCATTGGGTTTGCTGATGGCAGCATAAGGGTTTGGAGTAGCTCCAGGGTAATTGGTGACTCTGTTGCAACGGTGCAAGCGATCTCCTTTTTCCCCTCTTTCCTAGAGAACATTTCGATTGAGATTCGAGATCTTAATCATATCAATCAATTAATTTGATTCCACGGCCTACGTACTATGCTACTTCGTGGATTAATTCTTGGATGACCTGATCTTTTCGAGTTCTTGCGGGTGTTGGTGCAGAAGGCGCAAGCCACACCCCAGATCGGACAGTGGCTGGGGCTCCTGGTCAGCCACAGCAAGGCAACTGCAAGGCGTCTACGTGGCCCGCTCTGCTCCCCTGCCAGGCTCCTCTTTTCACCACCTGTATTGATCAAGCGATGACACGGCACGGCCTGGGGTGAGTTCTGTCGCTCTGTCATGTGCCCAGAATGGAGCAAACAATACACATATCGGAGGCACCCGCAACTGCTTATTTATTTTTCGCCCATCATCCGCATAGATCTCACGATACGCAGAACAAAACACACACGGCATTCAGAGGAACAGAGCCACCGATCCTATGACTTGGCACAGGGACTGCAGGAAGGCTGACATTACTGTCATTGACTTAGGACCTGGCGGACTAGTACCGTGCTGCAACAGCTGTGGAGAAGTCTGCCCTTCGAACGACAACGATGCCCCCGATGCCGAGCGATCAGCCACCCATTCGACACTTGCGCTTGAGCCTCCATCACGTCATGAGAACCTCCACTGGCCCTCGTCTGTTTCCTACTTTGATGACGATGATTTTCTAATCAGCCGTGGAACGGATGCATCACCCAACAGCCTCTTCCAGGAACAATCAAATGACGGCACAGGAGCATCATCCCTCGTTTGCGCTACAACCCCCCAACGGAAATTACGCTTCCAAGAATTAGGCGAAAGGCAAATCCGCCTATTGCATCTGTCCAGCGGAAATTTCAACGATCTACTTCACATTGATCTTACAGTTGAGAACTTTGCATTCGGGGTGGAATATGAGGCACTTTCATACACCTGGGCCAACGATGCAGGAGATTCCCGGAAAACATGCTCCGTTTATTACGGCAAAGGTTGGGAGGTGATCAGGGTCACAGAAAATTGCGCCAACGCCCTCCGAAGGCTCCGCCACCGTAACAAGACAAGGACACTTTGGGTTGATGCCATCTGCATCAATCAAGAGGATGTCGACGAAAGAAGTCATCAAGTGGAAATGATGGCGGATATCTTCGCATGCGCAGCAAGGGTCATTGTCTACCTAGGCGAGAATGAGCCTGAATCCTTTGAAGATGAACCGCTCTACCGTTCGCGTCTCCGTCAGCAGGTCGAAGAACTCTGCGGCAGACCATACTTCTCTCGAATCTGGGTAGTGCAGGAATTGGTTTTTGCCGCTGACAAGACCGTCATATGTGGTTCTACAACGTGGGATTGGGAAATGTTTGATACTATGGCGCGCAGCCTTTCAGACGCCACCCGCATATCCTGGATTCATTACTGCAACGATCGAAAGTACCGTGAGGGTTTAGATCTGTTTCAGTTACTTTGTAGCACCTTAAACTGCAAATCCTCTGATCCACGAGATCGAGTGTTTGCTCTTCTCGGCCTGGTTGTTGGATCAAGAGCTATGGGGCTCACGCCGGACTATTCTTTACCACTTGCAGATCTCATGGTTGGAGTAACGGGCCACTTTCTCTTTCATTGTTCCGCTCAGGATTGCAAAACAATTTTTTGTTTAGCCCGCATGAATGGTGTTTCTGCGTGGGCATCGTGGGTCCCCAATTGGGCGGATGTTGGACAGCGGCAATGGCTTGAGGCTGCTTCTGTCAGGCACAGCCAGGAATACGTGGGCATCGAGGAAAAAGGCTGGAGTCCACATCTACTTTTGAGGTGTGTCGAAACTGAACGGCCAGCCATTGGGAAGGCAACTGGCTGCCTTAAACTGAAAGGATTCTTGGTCGCTTCCGGTCCCAACATGAACCAAATCACATTTTGCGGTGTCTCGCCTTTTTGGGAAGCAAGCGCCATGTATACATGTACATGGGATCAGCTCGAGGGAGTTGACATCATTGTTGTCTATATTCCCTGCTATGGTTCATATTTCCTTCTTCGCTCTGCAACCACTTCCGCGGACCATGTGGCAGCGAAGTCGAGTGAAATTTGCGCCCTGGGCCCTTGTAGGCCAGACTTTGACGATATCACCACAATACATCCTCCCCATTCAGTCCATGACCACAACGTTTCAATTTTAGCCAACGTAAACTCATGGGTCAAAGCTCTTTTTCGATCGGGCATGTACGCGGGTGCCGATCTAAGCGGCCTCGTGGAGCCTTGGACACAGCTTTTGGAAAATAAAATTGACTATCCCAAGGAAACATGGAAAAGGAACAGGCTCTGGGTACGAATGCTGTTACGAAAGGCCGTAATTCACCACCATACTCTATCCCTACTTTTGAAAAAGAGTAACGACACAGGAGAGAGGCAGAGCCTTCCGAGAACCCTTTCTTTGATTAGAAACATCAGCTTTTTCGCCCAAGATTTGACGCGCTTTGTGCATACAGGTGCACTTCTTGATTCCGCTCTTACACTCGGCATCTTTCTATGGAAGATTGCTCCGATCCGTAGATCTTCGAAAGATCCCATCCTGCAATACGAGTCTCCAGTATCCTACCATAGCGAAAACCAGATATTGTTCAACTCTTTCAGCGACTTTCTAACGAATCATCTGATTGAAGAAGACCCAGATGACGATTGGGGCTTCACAAGGCAAAACAAAACATTGGTGAAGCATTTCATTGAGTTTCTCTCGGCCTACATCTCCCTACCGCAAAACGCAAGTCTTTGCCCGTTGAATCATGACAGTGAACATTCGAATTTCCTCACCGGAATCTCGACTTCTGAAATGCCAATTAACGATGGCGAGTTTAGTCTCCTCCCCAGGCACACAATTTGGTGTCTGACGGGCCGACAGTCGATCGCCTCCGCATATCGCACACAGAACAAGCGGTGGCTAAATTGGAGGGACTATCCAGATCCTGGTGTCATACAATGTATGTGGGTGATTGATGAAGCTCTTTGCAAAAAAGGATGGCAGGTCTTTGTGCCAGACTTGATTGACGTGTATATCGCGTGAGAAGAGGGATCTTGGCGGGCGGTGAGAGTGGTTCGAATTTTCATTGTTGTTGTTAACGAAGCATATCCCGTTTTACTTCTCATCCCTATATGCCTATCCCGGATGGCAGTTCGCAGTAGTCGTGACAGGTCAGCTTAACCGATCTAAGAAGGAAGCCGTAGAGGCGTGCGATGATACTTGGATCGTTACGGGCAGACCTCAGGAAATATCAACCCAAGGCGCAGTGTTTGCCGATTACCTTATCAAGGTCGGTCTCCTAGGCCTAAACCTTCTCGGAACAATTCTTCAAGAAGTTTAGAATACAGTTTCAAGTTCGAGGGGTCCCGCACAGTTTCCAGAGCAGAAGTTAAGGTAAACAAACTTGCTTTCCTGTTGAGTCTGTCCCAACAAGTAGGCGATATCAAGTCACAATGTTGGCTCGGAAAGCAAATAGAACGTAACATCATCTCATTCGTGAAACGCATAATCCTTTCATACAATCCAGACCTCTTGGAGTGATGGCGACAAGTCAAGTCGGGTGGGCTTGTACTTCAGACTTGTTGATTTCGAAAGCTAGGGCTAATATATTTTAGAAAATACCCCATCCAATCTCAATAAATACTCATTATCTCATTTACACCTGGTTTAGTCCCCAAGGCCGTACTCAACAGCAGCCAGGAGCAGCTCCATGAACCCAGCACCTACAGCCTTTATGTTCGAGTTGTACTGGGAAACGGTAGGGTAGAAGGGGCAGGAGGCGGCGCTGTTGCCGAAGCCAAACTCGATGGTGTAGCCGTGGACGAGGTTCTTGCTCGAGTCGGCAAAGTGGCGTGAGTATGCGTAGTCGTCGCTGGCACCCGACGTGGGGTAGAGGTCCGAGGCCTGGATGGCGTTGTAGGTGGCGCCGCCTCCGCCGGTCAGGCCGGCGGCGATGCGCTTGGCCGCGTTCTGGTTGATGGTGTTCTCGGCGGCGGGTGTGTACTCGCCGTAGCCCCTGCCGGAGCCCGGGGTGTCGCTGAGGACGCCGCGGACGCTGTTGTAGGAGCTGTTCTTGAAGTTCATGTAGGGGTAGTTGACCTGGTTGTCGTCGCTGCCCCAGCTGTAGAGGATGTCGCCGGTGTAGGAGTGGAGGTCGACGAACCAGCGGATCTTGGAGTAGGTGTCGAACACCCACTTGATGGCCTTGGTCTCGGGCTCGCTGAAGGCGGCAGTGCCGTGGTAGGTCTCGGAGCTGGGGGTCGTGGACCCGACGCTGGACTGGACGCTGCTGGCGAAGAGGGTCTTGAAGTCCCAGAGGAAGTCGAAGTTGCGGTTCAGGTCCACGCCGACGGAGCCAGAGGCGGGGTTGCGGTTCTTGCGCCAGCAGCTGTTGGAGGACTGGTCGTACGCAGTGCCGTCAGGGTTGCTGTTGGGCACGATGACGATGCCCGCAGACAGAGCAGTCTTGACCTGGGCGGCCGTGTACGTCTTGGAGCCGTACGTGAGTCCGACATTGTTCTTGTTGGCATAGAGCAAGTCAGAAACGAAGTAGAGGATGTTGTCCATGGACCCACGCTCGCGGGCATGGATGTTGCCGTTGAGGTAGACGCGGTAGGCATCGTTGCCTGTTCCCGAGCCTCCAATCTTGGCTCCAACGATGGAGTTGCCATTGTAGGTAGTGTAAGGGGCGGTGAATGTGGTGATGCCATAGGTGTTGACCAGACCCTTCAGACCGCTCTGGACCTCATTGACGTTGAGTAGGGTGCTGAACGAGGTGGACTGGGATCCGAGTCCTCGGGGGGCAACGGAGCCGCCGCTGAACCGATCGCCTGTGCCGACAGGAGTACCGGTCGATGACTGGCGACGGACGATGGGCACAAAGCCGTCGTCGTTGCGCTCTTCGGGGAGCAGACACCCGGAGGCGAGCCCGTTGAGCGCAAGGAACGCCCAAGCGATGGAGGACTTCATTGTGGACTAGGTTGATCTGGTTGCCAGCTACCTAGGGAAAAGAAGGTAAGTGTCAGTGGCAATCGGCGAGAATGCGCGGCCTGGATGGGCCTTTTATGTTGTGTTTTTCGATAGGAACTTACGGCATTGATGCGTCGTCACTCTGGCAGCTGGCGATGTTCTGGATTGCGAGGACTTTCTGCATTGCAGGTGTGTTACCACAGGAAGCCATCTCGATTGGGAAGCTGTGAAGAGATAAGAGTTGAGCTGTTTGTTAACTGCCGAAAGGAGCCAAAATCTGCCCCACGCCGAATGGCGGCCTGGTACTTGCGACGCTGAGTGCTAACAAAGTACCGATTCGAATTGGCAGGTGAGGTAGCCTTAAGATGAAGGGATATCGAGCATCGCGGCGTAGGGCCCCGGACTGCTGGATAGAGGAGGAGGATCGTCGGTTGTGCAATACAGGTGCGGATGTCTTCATCGAACCACCACGGCGCTGAGTGATGGATTGGGAAGACGGGTCTGTTTCCTGTTTCAAGAATCAATTGAGTGACTTTCGTCCGACTGCGAGTGTTACTTTGGCCAGACTCCCGCTTTTCCCCGCACTTGGATGAACCCATAGCTGAAACTGACCTTTAGGATCCGTCGCTTCTCTACGCTGGCCGATGATAAGAGACAACCCATGGGGGTTTGGTGTTCTTGTGTGAGCTATTGAAAGCATTAACAACCTAGGTGTCTCGTACAGGTGATGCTTCAAACCGAGATCTGACGATGATGCTATACCGCGACAGTAGCTTCCAGAATTGGACTGGTCCATATGGAACATCGCCATGATTTTCCAAACTTTCCTAGGCTTCAGATCCGTAGGCAAACAAAGTTACTGGTGACAGTCTTGTTCGTTTTGAGCTAAATAACAATTGTTATTCCAAAGGTCTTCTCCTTTGCTGAACTCTTCTCAATGCCCAAAAGTATACCTAGTAGTTGATCGACCTCATAGGGAGGGTGTCTATGTCCAAGTTATGTACAGGTAGAAGGATTTTAAGGCTTTGTCTGAGCGCCGTCCTCTCGTACCAAGCCCTTTAGTATTAACTCTACTACAATCTCTAATGCTTTATTGGGTTGCTCTGATATCCAGGCAAGGTTTCTATGTTATGAGATCGACAAATGGCCTCTATGAAGTAGACACCATAACCAGTTGTCTCTTCAGTTCAGTGTAAGATCGAGAACGTCGAAACACACTGGGAAAAGTGGTTAAAGAAGCTTTGTCCTCTGACTGGATCTCTACCAAGAGCTCCTTCTACTGCATAGAAGCCTTGTACAAATAGCAGCGAAACCACATTTAGTCAAGTTCTAGACGGCCCAACATCTGCATGACACCCACTTGCCTCTTGCAACTCTAAAACAGGTTTCCTGAGTACCTTGGCTCCAGGGACCACTGGAAACGCACAGTGCACTGCAATGCGTGCTGGATTTACCCAACCTTGGTGCAAAACAAAAAGCATAATTTTTTTCCGTTCTACCTACCACCTACTTACTCCAACCTAAGCATCACCAGCCAATCGTCGCTTAGGCACGAACCATCGCCTCGTCCTTACATTCTGCGTTACCAACATCTGTCTTCCCATCCCACTAATCACTGCAACAGGATGGCTGTGCCCCCACCCGATGAGCACAGAACGTTGTACGATCTACCACTGTTCGATAAGTTGACGCCATCCTGAACAGGCGTCTCCAAGCAGCTCACACTGACGAGACCACTCTTAGCGAAAGTCTCTCAAGAAACCTAGCACTTGAGCGAATCGTAATCTTTGCTCATTCAACAGGGATTACAAGATCAGCTCATCATCGACGCGCAGAGCAAGGATGTAGCAAGGCCCGAAGAAGCGGCTTTGGTCAGGGATTACTCGACCCTTAAGATGATGCAAAGAAAATGAAATAAAGGGCCAGTGCAACGAAGCAGGACCAGACAAGGAGGCCAGGGAGATCTTCCTGCGTATTTTTGCTGATACAAAGGCCAAGGAAATGCGGCAGAAAATTACATTGGTAATTAAGCAAGTAGGAGTGGAAGCCATATGATATGGTCGACGGGGTTTCATAACGGCACGGGTGAAGCGCCTGGGGGTTATCACATGACACGCAAAGGGTTTTACCTTACCTAGGTACCTAGGTACCTAAGCCACAATTAGGCAGCCTTAGCAAAAGAGAACTCAACCAATTCAACGTCTATGATACCAACGCTGCCTTGCTGCTTAGCCTACGCATCACACAATTATTGTGATTCGCTTGTTAATTTAACTCTTTTGCTTTATTTACTACGCATCTCATCCAATTCGATCCGCCACATGATAGCAATTCTACATTCTGCCTGGATCATCAATCCGCCTGCTCCCCTCACAGTTTGACGCCTCACAAGATCGCCCAAATCGACAGTTCAACCGCTATACGCCATCATCAGCTACAAGCACCTAACTCAGAACCAGGTTCGATATTTGCCCGAATTCCCCCACCAAATCGTGAGCTATGACACATCACTTCTGTCGGACGTGGGACCGTTACGAAGGCTACCGCCAGAAGATCGAGACTGGCCTCTGCTTGTCGTTGAAGCTGGATACTCACAACCAATCGAAGCCTTGAGGCGAGAGACTCGGTCTTGGTTCAGTCAGTCAAACCATCAGGTCGAAATAATTCTCCTTGTCAAGGTGTATTCACGTACATGCAACAACAAGGCAAAAGATTCAGCCTGGCCCGGGTCCTGGCTACAGTCACACAGCCTCTCTCCCAGCAACTTCTTTCCCGCGTCTGGAAGCGCAGATTGTGCTCAGCGAAGCGTGCTTAGATGCTTACCTACCGAGCCTACAACCACTTGGTGAGGAGAATATCAAGTTCCTTCGGCCCGAAGCTGATGACGGCGCGGAAAATGAAGTACCTATCGCAAAATCCCGGGCCACAGCCACAAGCAAAAGGCGCGACAGGTACAAGACATAACATGAGGCGACAACAACGTTATGTGGCAGCTGCTACAAGGCACGCGGTCTTCTTCGTAAACCCGAATAATAAGGCATTCAAGCTGAACACATCCACCATCCTAACTAGAGCGCCGTCCCTCTACCTACTCCTTACTTTCACGTCATTTTGTTCCAAGGCTCAACTTATCATTGATCCCTTTCGCCTTTGGCCCAAGGCCCGCCATCAACTACAAGTAAGCACAAACCGACACTACTGAAGAACGTCCGTTTCTCATAGATCTAAGAATCTCCACGAGTCCCGATGTTTGCATCTTTGGAGCCAGAAACGGAACAGCGCGGCGTGGCCACTAGGATGGCCACTCTCTCACTGAACTGGAAGTCAGAAATCTAGACACAACATCCCGATTCCCGCAACTTTAAGTCGGAAGCACTCTGGGCCTCTTGAATCCGGTTATCTGGTAAACGAGGCGTCTTGAAGGATGTATGTATGAAACGATGAACAAAGCAACAAACAAGAAACGAGATGCTAAAGGATGGACTCAATGAAGAGATACGTGACGAGAGTTCCCAATTGGAACCACGGCCGCAAACCCGTTATTTCCAGGCTGCCATAACTTGGCGCCACCATCCAACAGCGGATGTGAGTTCCCACAACGGTGCACGCGTAGGCGCGCTTGTAGGAGTGGTTTGCTCGGAGGAGCTCTGTGTCAAGGGTTCGGGCTTCCATGTGTCTTTCACACACATTGGCATTAGTACGTTCGTCAACAATCAGCACACAGAGCCCAAAGGTTTTCACCTATAGGAGGCATATATTACACGGGAACATCGGAATCTTCTAAAAACAGCGCATGGAACTCAAGGAAATAGAATTGCTATGGTCAAACAGACACTATCTTTGGTTGGGATTGAAAGGGTCGAGATTCAAGAATTCAAGACGGTTCTATCAGGGTTCGACACACAAGTATGCACACTCTATGCTTTCCTCCCCCTCTCTCCTTCCCAGCTACTAACTCAACCAATAACCAGGATGGCTTCAACCACAAGGCAAGCTAAAGATTAAGCATCCCTTGTTTGTTTCGCCTCAAACGTCTCTCGCGTCTTTCGATCCGCTATACCGCAGCATTCCCGAGCGGCCCCTGCTACGTCTACTCACCCTAAGAACCACACCCCTATTGTCTCTCTCCCGGATGAAAGGCTTGAGGAAGAGGCCATTTCAGTTGAAATTACCTACAACAAGGAGAGAAGTCATTGTGTTGAGATGTCGGGTCTGGTCACTTCCATTGCTGTTGTTTACTTTATACTCAAACTCTGCCGCAGTAGAGTACAGTACACAGCAGAGAAAGGATCAGAGGCGACCAAGTGCTTCTCCGTCCAAATTGATTCTCAAACCAAGCTTCACCCATGTAGTGTCACGCAACCAATCTCTCCAGCGGAGGTGACCCAGCAAGATCCGAATAGCCATTGAAACACAGTTGTTGCCAGGCAAAAACCTCACCCGCGTCATACTACCCAGCGGACCGGGACTAACAATCTTTGCGGGATCTAAAGACTACAAACACCTTACAGGACCCAGATACCACACCCAGATACCACACAATCACTAACCAGCCCATAATTATATACAAGATCTACGGCCTAGATCCACGAGCACAATAGCTGTCGCTGCCTAAAGGGGTTCTCTTGCAAGGATTGCTCCCGCCTGGGTTCAAGCCAGGGCCTTGGTTGAGCAGGCTTCCGCTCCTAGTTAGCCAAGTAGTAAGCGAGAGAGGTATACAGTTATGCGGCAGCTGCTGGAAAGAAAGGGGGGGATTCCTAAACAACAAGAATTCAACAACTTGACACCATACCCAGTATTACAACACATTAACGAAAGGTTAGAAAGAATGGCTTGCTAACCCAAGCTCTCCATATCGATTATTCATTTCCTGTCGGGACGAGCCGCTCGTCAAATCACTTTTTAAACTACCCTCTCGGATCAACTTGAATATGAATCAAAGTCGAGCCCTCGGCATCAGCGAAGCAGGTAGTCCGGTACGCCTCAATTGAATTAAGTGC